AGACATCCTATGGTGCGGAGATGCGTGTAAGTCGCGGGTTTACCATGAAGTTTGGAGTATGGGGTTAAGTTGTTGATTGAGACGGACGGCAGCCGATTGATCAAGTAGTTAGCTGTAGATACCATTTCGGCCCAGAGGGAGTTGGGTAGGTTGGCCACTTGAGCAAGTGTTCGGGTGAGCTCCAAGAGATGCCGATGTTTCCTCTCCGCAGTGCCGTTTTGCTCTGGTGTGTATGGACAGCTGAATTGATGTGTGATACCTTGTTGAGAGCAGTAATTACGAAATGCAGTATTTTGAAACTCGCCTCCGCCGTCGGAACAAGATTTTTGATGTTGGATATGAGAAATTTGAGGTGGGGAGGGATGAAGAATTCGGATTCTTGATTTGTAGCACAGGACGTCGTCCGGCGAGATCCGATGGACAGTTCTTCTGCCATTCGGATGATCAGTCGAACTGAAGAAAAGAACGAGTTGCCGAGGTCGGAAGAGGATGCCGACGATCAGAGGAGGGCTGTGGAGCCTTGAGGCTCTGATACCATGATGAAATCTTGAAAGAAGATGAAGGCGGGAAGATACAGAGAAATGCGAAAATAGAAATTGTATTAATGTGTTTGGCGTACAGAGGAAAACTATATATAAGCTATTACAGGAATTAATTACAAGTAAGGACAAGTGAGGAAATACGGTTTAGTGCTTTAATACCTATCACCATTTCTTTTACTTCTTATTTGCCTTGCACATCATCCCTCACATGAATGTTCTTCCTTAGAGATATCATGTCCCAACTTCTTCAACTCTCTTGCTCTTCCTAGTGAGATCCCGCCCGTCATAACTTTCTCTCTCTTCTTTAACGTTCGATTACATCTCACTGTGACCCATTGTCAATTCCTCAATCTTCCTAATTTTGAGTGAGAGAGAATAAAATAATATCTATATATAACTATTTATGTATTTGCATAGGTGTGATATCTTGCGGAACGACTTAATATAAAATTGAACCAATCCTAATAATATCAATTGGCATTCACTAGATTAACCGAGATGATTATTTATCATTATGGGCTATGTAAAATATAATCGATCCACTTATCCTAATTTTGGATTTTTATGAATAATCACTTATTCAAAAAAAATATGAGCATGTTGAAACAAAAGTCCGTTATTTGGTCTATAAAAGGCTTGCAATATAAGCCTTCTATAAACCAAATAACAGATTTCAATAGAAGGCTTGTCCTATCTTAGATAATGCACAAGTTGAAATAATAATATTTTATTACTATAAGTTCCAACCTCCTCAATCAAAGGGTAAAAAAAAATCAAAAATAAATAATTTTTTTGAAAAAAAATATAATATATAAATAATAAATTAAAACATTTATTATATTAATTTCAAAATAAGTTTAATTAGGGGTGTCAATTTCGGGTCACGGGTCGGGTTCGGGTCGAATCCGAAACTGACCCGGCACTATTCGGGTCAACCCGACACGACCCTAATGACCCGTTTCCAACAAAAAATGACTAATTTTCGAGTAAAAAACGGGTCAATCTCCTCTTTTCGAGTAAAAAACGAGTCAATCTCGGGTTGCCGGGTCAAAATCGAGTTTTTGGGTCAATTTCGAGTCAAAGGGTTAACCCGAATCTGACCCGGTTCGGGTTCGGGTTGACCCTAACCTGAAATTTTCGGGTCGGATTTTCGGGTCGTGTCAAATATTGACACCCCTAAATTTAATAAATTTAATATTCCTTTTAATTTAAAATTTGATCAAAATATCCTTGCTCAAATGAAAAACACAATGAAGAGAGGCCCTTGTCAAATCTGATTCACTTGTATTATTACCTGGAGACAATCTCATTTATCAGAGAGATTATTCTATGCGAACGCCCAACACAGTTCAGTATTCGGAGACCAACTAGAATGTGCCACGTCAGCGGTACCGAACAGTACCGAGCTAGGTACCGAACAACAAGTGACGTGGTGCATTCTGCTTGGTCTCCGGACGACGTTTGCCGTCTGCACAGAATAATTAATCCATTTATCATACATAACACTACTTACAGATTTAAGAAATTGATTTCATGAGATCCATAAATACCTAAAATATAAATAAGCCTGGGATCTACAACCTGTTTATTGAATAATTCCTTGTCAGTCTATGAGAACAAGCTTGTATTCTTCTTCACCAGAGCGTCTCGATGATAAAACTTGCATCACAAACTCAAGTGATAGAAGCAGCTTTCAATGGGTAGAATTTGTTGATACCTTACAGAACACTGGACGAAGAGAGCTGCGGACCATCAGGTATACAACAAAAGCCACATATATTGCCAGGATAGAACACACTATGGAGCCGTAAAGCAGGCTTTTTATTTCAGATGCGAAGTAATCTACCAGAAGGTACCCATTAATGGCTATCAAGAATGCAGCAATAATCCAGGTCACAGTCTGCATGAGTAACCAAAACATAATAATTCAGGTGAGCAAGATATAGTTTTGTAAATCAGTAAGAAATGTTCGATGAGCAAATAATTAGAGTGTAAAATCTAAAAGGCTGGTTAATTTTACTCAAAATGTAAGGAAGGGAAGCCATGATTTCATGTAATGCTATTACATTGGACTAAGACTTTGTTTGGAACGGTTTTCTTAATGTTTCTTAAAGCATATTTTTAGTACAAAAACTTAAATTTTTGTACTAGAAAGCTGCTTTAAGAAGAAGTGAGAAAGCTGTCCCAAACGAAAAACTTAAATGGCATCAATCAACCCAAAGAAAAACAGTTTTGGTTTTTTGTTCATGACATACAATAAGAGTTTGCAGCACATTCTGAAAACCAGAATTATAAAGAAAATGAAAAACAATATGCTCAACATATCGAGACTGCAAATCATATGGTTCCTGCTTGACAAATAGTAAAGATTGATACTTTGAATGATCTCCAGTTTACTTAACACTAGGGCATGATTGTAGTAGATGATGATTCATTAAATTAAAATCTAGTTCAATAAGTACAAATTGATTCCAGAAAATTGCTTGCAGTAGATTGTTAAATTGACCTAAGGAAAACTATTTTAGAAGTTTTCAACTTTAGATATTTTTGTACATACCTCGGATGATACATCACCATCTACTTTAAACTGTTCGTGCATTGCTATTTGAAGCCAATCTACCTCATAATCTATGGGATACACTTCTTACTGCAGCCAACTTAATCAATCGCTTACCCTCAAAAACTCTCAATCATCTCTCTCCATATCAATATCTTTATCAAAAGCCTCCTACTTATCAACATCTCAAGGTTTTTGGTTGATTGTGCTATCCCTGATTTTCCACCACTCTACATCACAAACTTGAACCTCAGTCTACACCATTTGTGTTTCTTGGTTATGCTTTCATCAAAAGGGCTACAAGTGACTTAAAATTGAAACAAGTTGGATCTACATTTAAGTCACCTCCTCCCTGTTTCAGTCACCAAATGCTCCTCAATCTCCTCAACCGACTACTCACTTTGTGCCCTCAAATTCACTTGTTCCATCTTCCTGTCTTTCCATACATTCACCTGCACAGCCCTTGTCTACTACTTCTTCACCTTAACGTTCTGTAGCTTCCACCTCCAACTCCCCTTTGACCTCTTACAGCCCTTCCCACGGTTCCAGCTAGGGGTGTCAATTTGGGTCGACGGGTCGGGTTCGAGTCAAACCCGAGTTGACCCGGATCTAAACGGGTCAACCCGAACCAGACCCGTTTTTGCAAACGGGTCGGATATTTCAACCCGGACCCGACCCGGCCGGGTAGCCGAGTTGACCCGACCCGACCTGCATCCTGGACGGAGTCCGCGGGACCGACCGACCGAGCGACACACCGCGAGCGTGTGGACGGAGTTCGCGGGAATGCACAGTAGCGGCGAGCTCGGCGAGCGCGGCAGCGGGCGACGGCGCGAGCGCAACAACAGCGATGTCGCGAGTGCGGGTTGATCTCGGGTAAGTATCGGGTTTTCGTGTCAACCCGAACCCGACCCGTTTTTTAAACGGATCAAAAATCTGAACCGAACCCGACACGTTTGCTAAACGGGTCAACCTGAACCCGGATTTTTCCGGACTCGGATCCGGGTCGGGTCAAAAATTGGCACCCCTAGTTTCAGCTGCTCTACTAATCCTCCTATTGCTGCTCCATTGCCACTCGAGCAGTCTAGATACCATATGGTTACTAGTCTTCAAACAGGCGCACTTAAACCCAAAGCTATTTTACACTGCAGCATACCATTGTTCCTGATGCTCCTACCTGTTTTTCTCAAGCAAATAAGCATGATGTTTGGAGAACAGCAATGTCAAAAGAGTTTAAAGCACTCCAAAAGCAAGATACTTGGTATTTAATTCCTCGCAATCCTAATCAGAATGTACTGGGCTGTAAGTGGCTATTTAAAACAAAATATCATGTTGATGGTACTGTTGCTCGCCATAAATCACATTTAATTGCTCGAGAATTCAGTCTTGATTACACTGATATGTTTAATCCAGTTGCAAAATTTCCAACCATTCGTATCTTCTTCACCATTGCTCTTGCCAACAAATGGCTGATCTTGCAACTAGATGTTTCTAATGTGTTTCTTCATGAACATCTTGATGACATCATATTTATGTTACAACCTCTAATATCCTAATTATGTGTGTCATCTTCATAAAGCTATTTATGGTCTAAAGCAACTGCCCAGGCAATGATTTTCCACATTTTCAACTCATCTCCTACAGTCTGAATTTCAAATCATCAATGCAGATTCATCTTTACTCACCTATCACAAAAGCAAGGTTTCTATCTACATCCTTATTTATGTGGATGACATTCTTCTTACCGGGAATAATCAATATGCTATTGAAAAACTGCTACAAGAGCTGCACAATAGGTTACGTATGATAAACCTTGGACCAGTAAGTTACTTCGTGGGTATTCAAGTCCTTAAAACAGCAACTGGACTGCATTTGGTGCTGTCAAAGTATTCAACTGACATTCTTCATAAGGCAGGTATGGCTAATTGCAAGTCAGTACTTACTCCTCTACCTCCTAAACCGCTAAACTCTGCTACTACTTCAGCCTTATATGATAAGCCTGAACTATATTGTCACGTAGTTGTCTCTCTTCAGTATTTGAAAATCACAAGGCCTGATATTTCATATGCGGTGAACCTTCTATGCCAGCACATGCATCAACCACATGTTGCTCATTTTCAGCTCTTGAAAAGGCTGTTTCAATACTTTCAAGGCACTCTACAATTTGGACTACCTATTTCTTCCTCCAAACTAGTATTACAAGCCTTCTCTAACTCATATTGGGTAGCTGATACCTATGATCGTTGCTTTACTACAGGTTTTTGTGCCTTTCTAGGCACCACATTGGTATCCTGGTGTTTCAAAGGGAATAAGATAATGACTGCTACGTCTTTTTTCGTGTGCCATTCGCAATTAAGTGTGCTCATTTCAAAGCAATTTTAGTATGGGTGACCTACTGGGAAGTTACACCAACAAGACAAAACTGTGAGGCTCTTTGGCTAAAGCGGACAATATCTTAATAGTTAAGAGTTTGGGTTGTTACATTAAATGCCCATAATCAATAAAATCCATCTAGTTTATCTTTCTTAGAGGTGCTTATAGGCAAAACACTTTGACCAATGCTCACTAACTTCAACAGGCTCAAAATATAAAACAAACATTGCAACTGAAAAAATGGCTCCAAAACCTAAGTTAAAGTCTTGAAATCTACGAATGAGGAACTTGCAATTTATGGCAATAAACAAGTTGTGATGATTTATATAACATTTAAAAAAAATTAATTTTTTTCTCTGAATCATCATTGTAAAACCTTCTCATGTGAACTATTAGGAGAAAAGAAGCTGATAATAAAGCATACAAAAAGAAAGAAAATTTTACATGATTGGTAACATTTAGAACAATGACAAGTTATCATGCTAGAAAAATTGAAACTATATCCAATTAGTTAACGAAGCTACTTAAAGAGATGAATAGCCATAATGCTAACAACAAACTGTATAGGAGGCTTATAATGACAGAGTAAAATTCATGACTTACTTTGAGACTAAGACTAATTTTGAAGAAACCCATAACTTCATCCTTTGATACCAGAGTGATGAGAGGTATAAGCGCAAAAGGCACCTGAACTGATTGAAGCACATTAAGTGACTCATTCAAAGCATCCATTGCAGATTCAGAAGAATCAAAACTTAGGGCAACAATTATTGCCGGCACAACTGCAAAACTTCTAGTAATAAGAGCCCGAACCCACTTTTTCACACGAAGATTAAGAAACCCTCCCATAATAAACTGTCCAGCATAAGTTCCTGTAATAGTGCTACTCTGCCCAGATGCTAATAACCCTAGCCCCCAGATATACAGTATAGGAAACAAAGTAGTCCCATACTTCTCTTGTAGAACTTGCCCAGCATTCTCAAGGCCTATACTAGCAGCTATTTTAGTACCATAAAATGATTTTGCAAAAACAGTGGTAACAAAGACATTGATAATGAAGGAAACAGCAAGAGCCGCAGCAGATTCTAAGGAGTAATATCTCATTGCTTCCCTTACACGGCTTCGCCGCTTGACATTCACTTTTCTAGATTGTACGAGAGCAGAATGCAAGAAAACATTATGGGGCATAATGACACACCCAACTACACCCACTGCCTGCTTTATGGTATTGGAACTGAGTTTCGGAACCAAAGTACCTGTGATGATAAATCAAACTCAGCTAGCAATGCAAAGAACATAAAAAGGGCAGATGGAAATCATATGTATTTTGCTATGGATGAAGGTAATTACCAATAAGAAGCTCTTTCCCACTCGGCTTAGTTTCTCCAAACATTATAGCGAAGGAAATTGCCATGGTTGCAATAAGAAGAGCAAAGAAAGCTTCCAATTTCCTCACACCATAATTCTCAAGGAACAGGAAAACAAAGCTGCCAACAACACAATAGGCGTAAATTTTCATTAGCCAGCATTAAAAAAGGCTAATCCATGAAATCCAACCAGCTTCCTTCTATAGGATTTTTTATGCTTAAGTATTTTATATAATATTCAAATTATGTATAGAAAACTATGTAATTCCACTGTAGCGATCAATGGCAAAGTAAACATCACCCAAAGTTGCAAAAATCACTAAAAGTTGTTAACTATTATTCTACACAAAATCAAACTTCATTTCACCTAAATGGATTACATAAACTGTAAAAGAACTGGTTTTTTGGAACAGGTTTAAGCGACCATCTCTTAAATACAGATACCATAAATGGACTACATAACTATTCTGGAATCCTCCAAATCATCATAGATGTGTGGTTTGTACTTCCCATCCGTTCAAGAATATAAAAGCATGATTGCCTATGAATATCCCTTGCAATGACCAATTATGCAGAGCAACAAATTTTCAAAAGGCCGAACTAAAATGCAGAAACCTTTCTTATTAAATTCTATATAAAAAAAAATCACTTTTAAAGCTCATTTGGTTGCTTGTAGATAGAGGACATGTTGAGTAAAATGATTATTTCAAAAATTTTATTCATTTTTTACTTTTAAATCAAAATCGTTACATTTAAGAAAGTTTTGAGAGTGTCTGTTGAGCATAAAATCAATGATGATAGCTAACCACACTCAGCTAAATGTTAGAACAAGTAAAATTCATCTATTTACCAAAAAAAAAGTTATATTTTCTAACTTCAGGCAACCATTTAAGACCTAAGAGAACTTCCTACGATACCCCAAAGCATAAGAGACTCTAAATAATGCGCCACTAAGGAGCTGCTTTTCAGAGAAAAAATAAATCATAATGCAAAATTAACCATTTACAGGGGAAGCATCCAAATTAATTTAAATTGGACTATAAAATAATCAGAAATCTTCAAATTTACGAGCTAGAAAAAACAAGCAGCATGATAAATTAAAAGGGTATACCAATCAAGTGCGGTGATGACAACCCCACTCCACAGAGGAATAACCCCGCCACTCAGAATTCTGATGGCAATTGCACTACCAATAACCTCCTGAATATCCGCCCCGATGAGCGCGAGCTCCGCCATAAGCCACAACACAATCCCCGCCCACCTCGGATACTCCTCTCGACAAAGCTCCGCAAGATGCCGCCCCGTCACCACGCCGAGCCTCGCCGACAAAAGCTGGATCAAAAGCCCCATCACCGTCGCCCAGAGAAGGATCCACAGAAGGCTGTATCCCGCGATCGCCCCTGACTGAAGATCTCCCTCGAGGTTTCCCGGGTCGAGGAAAGCAATGGACATGAGGAATCCCGGGCCCGTAAAACGCCATAACTTTCGCCACGAGAAAGGGGGCGGAGGGGCATCATCCTCCACCGTGTCCGAATCCTCATCGGAGATTGAGATTATGATCTTCTCGTCGGATTCGTAGGCCCTTTCCTCCACCTCCTGGTCTTCAGATTCAGAAAGTAGCCTCTCCTGGACTTCTCTCTCTTGGGACGCCATTGCTGCCGAGAAGATAATTGATATTTGTCGAAGCTATTTTTCTCTGTGGCTGAAGAACGAAATCCCGTATTTGTAGTCAGTGAACAGTGAAGAGATTCTTTAGCGTTCTGTGTTTATAATGCACCGGAGGTTGCAAGTTCACCGCTGCATACACGCTGTCCGATAACGCCACGTGGCTCTAATACTACGTGGCACGTGATGATTCACGGTGTTTTTCTGCTGTTCTCTAAAAATTACTCCATCCTCAAAAGTTCTGATTTGACGCAACTCTCTTTGATTTGTTGGTTCTCTTTGGCTAGCAATTAAAGAGGCTTTGAATTTTAAAAAATTATTTTATGCAGACTCCAGAAGGCTTCTGGAGACTAGCCAGAAAGCGCCATATAACTTTTTTATTCGGTATCAATGTGCGGTACTGCTATATATCAGGTGACATGGTGCTCTGATTTGTCTCAGGATTATCCAGTGTCCGCACAGAATAATTTCTCCTGAATTTGAGTTCTTGTATTCATGTTGTATGCATGTTTGAACGCTGCCCCTAATTTTCTAAAATATATATATTTACAAGTAAAAGATAGGGCACATAGCTCAACTTGGTATTTTGATTGGGAGCTTTGACTATCAAATAAAAAATGTTGGATTTTATATGATATGTGTAAATTTGTTTTAGTTGGTCTAAATATTTAAAAAGAAAAGGACTCAGCTTATCGTATCTTATGTGATGATGGGGAGTTTTGGCTATCAAGAGGTTTTATGTCTAAAGCTTATGTATATATGTATGTATTTTTTATAAATATTTTTAAGCCAATAAAAACAAATTTACATAGGCATCATATACATGAGCTTCGAATCCAAGACCTATTTAATAGTAGTAGAAACTCTCAACCAACATATCAAACAAAGCTATGTCTGATATGTGTGACATTTTATCTTAATTGACTAAAAAATTTCCCTTAAAGAAAATAAACGATGGAAAAGTCTTTCGTACTACTATCAAAATCAATTTTATAGCACAAAATTTTACTATTAAAAAAATTATTAAAAGATTGCTTTAAAAACAATATGAAAGCTGTTTTGGGATAATTATCTTATTGTTTTTTAAAATAATTTTGAAGTATATATTTTTTTAATAAAAAAATAGTAGTGAAATAATTTTTTACTGTTTTCTAAAACAGCTTTTTAGAACAAAAATATTTAGTATTAAAAAAATTTATATAAAAAAATAATTTAAAAATAATGTAAAAATTATTTCAAATGAAGCCTAAATAAACACGTTTCTATGAATTAAATTGCACAGCTCAGTTTATTGGACCACTCCTACGAAGACTTTAGCATGCCTCAAACATTTAAGCCGTGCGAAATTGTCCTCTGAAGGTTATGTGAGAACTGAGAAGACCATTCTAGGATTTTTATGTCGATCCCTCGCCCGTGCGCATCCGTGGTTGGCTCGTGTTGTTAAGTGTCGGTGCCGATAACAAAATATATTTTTCTGCTTTATATATATTAGTTTAAATAGACGAATAAAAATATTATTAAATTTAAAAATATTATTATGAAAATTATACAATACTAATTACAATACTAATATTTATGTTTCGACGTTTGTGACAAGTTTTTTTAATGCTTTTTAAAATAATTTTCTATTGCAAAAATTTTTAATTCACAAAATTTTGTAATAAAATTTTGTTTTAAAAAACTGCAATACAAAATTTTGTTTTAAAAAACTGCAAAAAAATCTGTCTCAAACGAAATCTTAGTCGATCTAAAAATTTCTCTCTTTATTCATGATTATAACTATAAAAATAGAATACAACATAAGAGAGAGAATTATAGAGACAGCAAAGCTTCACTACTCTAAAGCAAGCTTTACGTGCCAACATAAATTAGTTAGATAAGTCAAACAAGTATTATTTTGCAAGTCCCAGGCATCAAAGAGGGGTGGCCTTTGCTTTGAAGCTCTTCCTATCAACTAATGTGTTTCTAACTCTCCTTTAAGGAGCAGAATAACATGCATTCCAGTACTAATATGTAGTCAATCTACTCTACTTCACATTTGATTGGAAATTTTAGAACTACATCCTGGAAAACATTCAAATGAGTAAAATACGAGTGATATGCAAAACATAATTAGACATGCGTGTTTACATAGGTTGAACCAACTCTTAGCTAAACCGCAATAGCAAATGTTGAAGTATATAAATTGTTAAATCACGAGCAAAGCTTTAAAAAACAGAATGACCACCTAGGAAAAAAAAAAGCTAATTTGGATGTCATGTACCAAACAAACGTTATAACCATAACTTCAATTTAAAACATAAAACAAACCAAAAATATTTTTCGTTCAAATGTAACGCTTTAGGGAGAATAGGCCGCTCATATTTTCACCGACCCAAAAATAATGCATTGAAGTCAAACAGATAAATCTGCATCCTTTTTTACATGCATCCGTCCCCATCACAAATGTTAAACCAAAACCTATAAAACCAAGACACATTCTGTAACTCAAGCATGTGGCCGAAAAATCACAATAACCACAAAACAATATTCAAACCAATATCTTTCACGAGAACCAGATAAATTCGTCTACAAATTTAAGAAATTTTTGCAATAGAAGGAGGAGGTGGTGGAGGAGGGAGAATGCAAAGTTTAAAGAAAATGTTGCAATAGAAGGAGGAGGAGGAGGGAGAATGCAAAGCTCACAGTTTTAACAAAGGAAAGCCAGATGGGTTCGCACATAAGAGAGCTACTCCTACGCCTCGGTTGCAAAGGCGGGTGTGTGAAGAAGGCATACCAATTACCAAGGGTTTGCCATAGAGGAATAAGAACGAGGAAGGATCACAAGACATACTTATATTAATTGTTCAGATTTATAGTCCACAATAATTCTCTCATTACCTTCACAAGTGAGCTCCCTTCTTGAAACATGCTATTAGTTTCGGTAGGATCTGTCATAAAATAGTTTATGTTTGTGAGCCGATACCATTCTCATGCCACTAACTTCGTCGATCCTTTATGCTTTAATTCACATTACCCTAACTTTGTCGATCCAATCCACTTCCATCAGCAAGCTCCCGACGAATTCCTATCAAGAAATTCAACATCGTGGCTATGATTATTGCTCTAACGACCTCATAGACATAGTTTCAAATTTGATTCAAACATGTTTGGATCACATTCAAATTAATGTTCCTTTTGAATTTGGAATTTGAACAAATTCAAATCAAGTTTTCTTAAAATTGACTTCAAAAAGCAAATTTCTGCACTAAGGCAGAAAAAAATTAAGTGCTAAGAATAGCATAAGATAGAGAAGATTGACTTAATCAAAAAATTTGGTCAACTCATGCATGTTACAATTAGCTTTATTATGAGGTTAAAGCTTTACATACTTTCTGATATAGCATACTACACATAAAAAGATTTATTTGGGGTAGATTTTAAATTTAATAAATTTATTTGGATAAGAATGCAATATTAAATAAATTTAATAATTTTGAGATCTATTCTGACTATTTTTTAACAAATATATTTTGATAGATTTAAAATTTTGTAAATCATAATTATGTTATCTTTTACATGCATTGAAGTAAAGTTGATGATTATTTGATAAAAATAATTTTTACTTTTTCCTAAATATATTATTAAATAAAGGGTTTAGGGTAGATGTATTAGATTTGACCCGCATAAAGAAAGGTAGATGTAGACTTAAAAAGAATTGGTTATAAAATATTAGAAATAAATTTTTTATTAGATTTCAATGAGAATTTGACCATTTTTGAATTATAGTGATTTAGATAAATGATAAAAATATAATTAATCATGAGCAAATATTACAAATTATGTTTATTTTAGATGTAAAAAACATAAGTAATTTTAATAAATATGTAATTATTAATAACAATAAAATAATATTATAATAATTTAAATTATAGAATTATTGTATGGTAGAATCTTTATGATCTTAGAGAGAGAGAGAGTTTATTTTCTTCGAATTATACTTAAAAAAAAAAAAAGGTAGTATCATGCTATTCTGAGTATTCTCCATCACCAATAAATTCTATGAGGTGCAAAATATTTATTAAAAATGAAAAAATAACTAAAAAAAGTGAAAAAAGGGATAAAAGAATGTCAATGACTTAAACGTGCCTCGCACACGAGTGATTATTGCATCTGGATGGCGAACGTGTCCAAAGACCAATAAAAAAGCGCCACATCATTGGGCGCTCGGTACCGCGCTCGGTAGACCTCAGTACCACTCGATACTCTCTGTATCGTGTCCGGACATAATAATTTTCCCTCGCACACTGCGGATGGTGCATTGTCCAACGGTCCAACCCATTAGTGGCTAGCTTGCATGCACATCTTTGATACCTTTTCTAGGTTTGAATAATCTGTTTCAGATTTTTTTGGCCCATATGATTATTTTTTTATGTTTCATACTCAATTTGACGCTCTCAATTCTCAATCATGACTATAATTAACTATTTTATTCATTGCCCTAAGAGAAGGCCAAATTGGTGTTCATGGAATTGTCCTGTCTCATAAATTTTCTAAAAAAATATAATATTACTTCATGAATTTCTTAAGAATGAAAATAAAAATAAAAATATTGGATATATTTTGGTTGCTTCATTATTATGAATTCATAATAATTTGTTACTAAAGTTTAGTAAGATAACTTTTTGTATGACAAAAATTAGATTATATAATTTTACACATGGAAAATTATAATTGAGGTAATTTTGCTCGGTTCATGGCTCTAAGAAAAGTTTATATTAATGTCCGATGAGTGATCACACCTTGATGTTTTTCTAAAATTATAATTTTATGTTGATGATATTTTGAAGTCCATTTTTTTCGGACAATTCTATTTAATCAATAACAAGGCAAATGATGTCATAAAAAATTTGATCACATCAAATATAAATTTTGACCCAAATATTTGAATTATAAACTTTCTAAATCAATTTAAGGTTTCTTTAAGCCATATTTTCAACAAACTTATTGTCATAATGTGTATCTCAATGAGACAAATCTAACAAGCACAACATCTCCCAAATTTGGCGTCATCAAGACACTTAATGCACAAAAAATATTACATGATCAGTATGGATCAACACAAATAGTTTAGCGGTGTGCTATGATATATGGTTGAATGATTAGAATGTCTCTCTCTAAACCTCTATAAATACGTCATATTTTTCACATATTTAAGGAAAATTTGATGAAGCACAGCAAAGATTCCAACTAAAATAATTTGAAGCTTTACTACATACACCTCATTCTCATAACCCAGAAAACAACACCAATGCTTGTTATTGACAGAGACACCAACAATTACCATAGCAAATAGGCTATAAGCTCTCGCCATCCAAATCAACACTAACATTCATTGTCATGAACAATACCAACAAAGCTGATGATTCTATCATCATCATCAAGGTCAATACTAACCATCTCAACCAAGGTCATTGCTTGCCTTCTTGGTTCTTAATCTCTCCACTTACAAGGGAAAAAAAAATCAATCATACCTCTATTGATCTTTTAATGACAGTTTCAATGTCTTAAGACTTCTCATACTTTTATTATAAATGTTATCTTTCACAATTTATGTCTAATATATTATACCAATATATTTTTCAATGTGAGAGAATGGCATTATTTATAATTTTTGACTTGCTATAGTAGAATCATATTAATTAGGCCAAACTTTGTATTTTTTTTTTCTTTCCTTGATTTTCACATAAAATATATAATATTTTCTAAGAACTCCTTGAACTTATTTTGTCAATCCCACATAGTGGGATAAATACTTGTTGTTGTTGTAATTGTTCTCTTAACTTATTTATTAGTATATGAACAAGATTTTTATATAATTTTAAGATGATAAATTCTCTTATGCATTGTAACTATAAATATTTAAACATGCAATAAAAATACTTTTATCTTTTTAAAAAATATTTTTTGATAAAAAAATTATAATATTGATTCCTTTATTTAATTATTAAAGAAAAAATATATAATACATATTTTTTGTCTTAATATCTAGAAAAAATAGGAGTACTGTCACCTTATTTAATTGATCAATATCTTGAAAATATTTACTAAAATATTTCAAATGTATTCCATTCAAAATTTTGCATTAACACTATAATCATATAAAAAAACATTTTTATTTAGTACTTATTATATATATTTTTTATTTTTTCTTAGGCTTACATTTTTAACATAATAATTGATTTGAATTTATCAATTTAATTTTTTCTAACTAATTTTAATGATTAAAAAATATAATTATTTGATAAAAACTATTACTAAATGGCTCCTTAATTTTGCATAGTCAGATAAAAACAGCAACAGCCGTCGGATCCAAATATCGCACGTGCGAGGCCGCAATGTGGACTTCACTAATCGGTGCAGCCTGGCACGTGTAAGCACTAAGCAGCGCAGCACGCGAGGCTTGAGGTAGAAGAAGTAACTGTTCTAGGTTTTCCTCTGAGGCCGATCTGCTGAAATTCTTTTCTCGGCTCCGAATCCTTTGGGTTCTCACTGTTCCTCTTTTTCAGGAAGAGAAGGAGAAGGTTTGATCAGCCTTGCGGTTCTTCCTCCTGCTTTCTTCTAACCCCCCGTCTTCCGTTCCGCCATGTGACCCTTATTATATTTCCGTGATTTGAATACGTTTGTGTTTTTAGGGTTTTATTTATTCTCCTAGACATGTGGGTGATAGATCGGGATCCAGGTTTTATTGGAGAGGATTCCGTCTTCTTACGGACCGATGGTGTTGGATGTGTGAAAGACCGATCGTGTTCAGGGTGAATCTGATTGTCGGCGGCTTGATCAGAAGTTTAAATTTTCGTTTTTGCATGAGAATTTTAGATGTACTTCCCACTTAGTGCGGTTTACCCCTTGTTACTTAGATTCGTTCTTCTTATTTCCATTGCGATCAACTACTAGCGCTCTGATATCCTATTTGCGTTCTATCTTTTTTATGCTGGGCGATATTGTTGGAGGCGATTTAGCTTATCGATTATTCTGGATTTATCAATTTTTTAATGATCACTGATGTATATATGTTTTTTTTAATGTTTATTGTTATATTAATGCATTAATTTTTTGTTTTGGTTTGCAGGACTTTAGGCGTGAGGGCAGTTGAAGTCCTCATTATAACAGGAGTTTGAATAAGCTGATGCAGTGTTGTGACAGAATAATATTATTATAGTCTGATTTTATTATACCTTAATCCTTACAATGAGGAGCCATGAACGTGCAGCAAATGTCGCTCTTTTAGGTAAAAGTTGCAACTTTTGACAGAATAATACTTAAGGTAGCCAAGTAGGAGAATATAGGTCTTTTGAATATTTGGTCAGCATGTAAGTTGTTTTGTGTATGTAACAATAGTTTTACTATGTTGAACATGCAAATTGCGAATTTTTTATTCTTTAGACAGGATATGTAGCTGTGCCTAGCCAAGAATCTGTCAACTTTCCAATTTCCTTATTAATTTATGAATCAGAGTTGGAACTGCTGTAGATTTGGTGGTAGCAATTGCATGAATTTGCTTTAAGAATGGAACTCTTTTTTTTTAGATATGTTTCTTATTACTAGGTTATTCAGTGGCTATAGTTTCTTGTTCGGTAACTAACATAGCTTGAAAACCGTGTTTAAGCTCTACTGTATGACCAGGGAGCCTATTTTAACCTAGTCTTATTATTCTACAGGTCTGACTTTGGCACCACTTTTCATTAAGGTAAATCCAAATATAAATGTAATATTTTCAGCTTGCTTGACAGTGTATGTTGGGTGCTACAGATCAGTCAAGCCCACACCACCATCTGTGAGTGGAATTAGTTCTTAAAGTTCTTTTGCTCTTATATTTTGTTTATCTTTAATATTTTTAGCATTTGCTTGATGTAATTATATCTGAAGGCATATTATAACCATGCAGGAAACAATGTCAAATGAGCATGCAATGCGCTTCCCCCTAGTCGGCAGTGCAATGCTCTTGTCGTTGTTCTTGCTCTTCAAGTTTTTGTCAAAAGACTTGGTCAATGCCGTACTCACATGTTACTTTTTTGTGCTTGGGATCATCGCTCTTTCGTATGTATTTGTTTTTATGATAGAGGAATTTGTGATCATTTATTTATACCATTCTAATTGGTCTAGGAATCTTTTGATTTAAACCATGAGTATCAGTCTTGTTTTTTTCTTCACTTACTTTTGCTGTTCTATATTGCAGTGCGACATTATTGCCTTCAATTAAGCGCTTTCTTCCAAAACATTGGAATGAGGATCTCATTATTTGGCATGCTCCATATTTTCATTGTATGTATGCACAATTTTCTCATGTGTTTCTGCTTATTCATTTGGCATGATAAAATACTTTCTACCAATAAATTTCTTTTTCTCTTTTTTCATTTTATATAGTTGATCACTTGATGTATTTCTTTAATATGCGCATAAGATGATTTCGACTGGTCATAAAACTCATTAGTCTATGGATGAAACCCTTGATTGTCCACTAGTAGAAATTATGAATATGTTTATTTACCCAACAGTTTTCCACTTAACCAACCAAGGTTGCTACCTTGTATTCACATTGTTGAGGAAGTTAAGATTGCTTTTTCTTGTCTACTTTTTTCATATTGGTGTCATTGAGATGGTTTTGATGTTGATATTTAAGAATAAAAGCAATATTTAGGTGTGTGCTAAATATAGTTGAATCAAATTTATGAGTCAAGTAATGAAGCTATAGGAGAAAGTAATGATTGCAGGTTTCGACAAAAAAATTACATCAATTTCAAAGAAATGATTTGGTTTCATGCGAGGAAGATCTTCTATAAAAATGTTTTATATGTTATGACAATGAATGAAAAATTATAGAGAAAAAACAATCTTCAAATGATTTTTATTAGTCTTGAAAGGTCATATGATTGGGTATCATTAAAATTGATTTTTATTATACTTGAGAGTTTTTTAATTATGATAGGTTTACATCAAGGATCAACATTGATTCTACATTAGTGTGCCTTTGCATTTTTTTTTTTTGCAGATAATATTATTTTAATTTCATAATTTGTGAGACATCCTTTGAAATAAGGGTTTAGTACAATGGAGTAAATGTCTAGAAAATAGAGGTTTTAGAGTAATTTAGGCATGATTTTAACAAATATTATTCATACTTTTAGAAAATAAGGTGATATCTAGTTATGAAGGTATAAGTAGCTTGGATTAATCATACAAAAGATTTGATTACGCGTTTGAAGTCATTTTACACTATATGACCTCATAGGCTTTAGATGTTGGCCTTTACGAATTTCTTATCATCTTTTGGAGACCTCATATATTCATCTAAAACTTAATTTACACAATTAACACCACTTGAGAGCTTATATCTAAAGACAACCATTTATGTCAAATAGTGTGATGGACCGGTTGAGCTGGTCCAGCCAATCAACCCGGCCCCAACAAGGGGGGCCGGTCTAGCTGGTGAGCAAAAGAATTGATACCGACAGACTACTCGAAACTGCTTTGCTACTGGTTCGCTTAGAACGAACCCTTACTACACTGCTAGTGTTGTAGAGCTTGAAAGCGGCTGGCTGGTACTCATACTCGCATGGATTGGACTTCAACCGTGCTACTATGCCTAAAAGCTTTTGCCTTTTTCTTTCAAACTATTGGCTTTTTTTCTTGCAATAGAAGCGAGCAACGTCCTTGTACCTGGACTTGCTTCTACCATGCTTAGAGTTAGACCCTTTTCAATAGGTCTCTGCCCTGTGAGCCCAACTAGTGTTGGCAGCGAGCAAGGAGAGAGGGGGCTCAAAGGGAGTTAATTCTACATTTAATTACTTGCCATAAAAAATCACAATCGTGAGGGAATTAGGAAGGTTTTTTTAGAGAAAGAGGGTTGATTTGAATTTAGATTTGGGAGGAAATTATGAAGGTTTATTTAGGATTAATTAGGTTATTTTATTTTCAATATGGAATTTTGTGTTTGGCAGTAATTTTTTTTTGAGTTGTTCCTAGTGGTGCCTAGGGTTTGTGGAGAGTTGATCTACCTCTTAAATAGTAGATTAACTTGTATCTTGGTTTGTTGTGCTGATATCAATTAAATTAGCCATAATCTCATTCTTTCTCGGCGATTTCTGCTCCTTTTTCTCTTCGTTATTGCTATTTTTTTTGGCTGTGCGGAGATCAAATACCTATCAAATTGTTATTAGAACACCTTTTTTTGGAATTTATGGCAGTTAAGAAGGATGATGCATTGGAGGAGAGGCTTGATAATGAAGTTGGATATTTGAAATCTAAATTCAGAGAGCGAATATCAGTAATTGGGGGTAGATTTTCAAATTTGGAAGAGATGATAAAAATTATGTTTTAGAGTTTCAAGCCAAGAAGGCATCAATATAAGGGAGTGGGGAAAACCCTAATATAAGGATGATGAGGGTGGGATTGGGACCCACTTCCAAGGATGACACCTTTGGAGCCACTTCCAAGGAGGGGAATGGGTGAAGGGTATGGCTGGTGAATAAATTTGGATGATGAAGATCGGAGAGCTGATTTGTGGGAGAGGAAAATATTAAGGGATCACAACACCCGCTACACTAGATGAGGTAGAAGCAATTTGGGTGGTGGTGATCCTAGGTGAGAAAGTTGAAGATGCATATTTTTGAGGGAAAAGATGTTCACGGGTGGACTTATCAGGTGGAGCAATATTTTGCTATAAATGGGTTGACAAAGGGTGAAAAACTCACAGTAGCCACTCTTTGTCTAGATGGGAAGGCTCTGTCCTGGTACTAGTCGAGATACTTGCAAGATTTGATCCAATCATGGAGGGAGTTCAAAGACTATCCACCAGAATATTTTCGAACCAGTCGGAAAGGAGATTTCTATGAATAGTTTTTTACTCTGATGTTGGAGGGGATAGTGATAGAGATCGAGAAAAGTTCGAGTACTCCTCAAGCTGAGTGGGAAGGTTGTCAGAGACTATGCTAGAGGGGAACTTTATGAAGGGGCTCAAGCTTGATATTCGAGTAGTTGTTTGAGTACTAAGTCCATGTGGCTTAGGGAAGCATCCTAGTTGGTGGAGGATAAGAACTCCTTGGAGAGGAGTAACCATAGCAGCAGTTCAGTAGTCTCCTACCACACGAGGCACGACCATTACATTTCTGGCACCAAAGGGGCTGATGGTGCCTATTAAGTAGGCACGGGGGATAAAAGTCAGGAGTACGACCAGTGGGAAACTTCAAGAGTTTGACTGAGACAAAAATTTAAGCTTTAGGTGTGATGAGAAGTTTGCTCCAGGTCATCATGGTAAGGACCGTTCGGTACAAGTCCTAACAATTTGCGATGAGGAGGAAGATGATCACCTGCAAATAGATGTTGTAGAGGTATCCCTTAACTTAGTGGTCGGGTTCATACTGAACCACACCATGAAGGTTAAGGGGAAAATTGAACTTCAGGAGGTGGTAGTATTGGTGGATGGTGGAACTACCCACAACTTCATTTCCAATAGGATGGTGGATCAATTGAGATTGTAATTAGTGGACATTAGGGGCTTTGGGTTTATGTTGGGAACAAAAAAAGTTGAGAAGAGTTCGATCGACAACCGAAGGAGCTAGAGAAGTGCTGATTGAGTGGAAAGATCTGTTTGACTATGAAACAACATGGGAACCGTACTGGATGTTTTATTAGCAGTTTCCTTAGTTCCACCTTGACGACAAGATGGCTCTTTAGTAGGGGAGTGTTGATGGACCGGTTGAGTCGGTCCAGCCAATCAAGCAGGCCCCAACAAAGGGTACCGGTCTAGCTGGTGGGCGGAAGAGCCCTGTTGATCCCACTAGTGTGGGCGGCAAGCAAGGATAGAGGGGGGCTAAAAGGGGATTAATTCTACCTATAATTACTTACCATAGAAAACTGAAATTGGGAGGGAATTAAAGAAGGTTTATTTAGGAAAAATGAACTGATTTGAATTCAGATTTTGGAGGGAATTAGGAAGGTTTATTTAAGATTAAATAGGTTGTTTTATTTTTATCATGGGATTTTGTATTTGGTAGTGATTTTCTTTGGAGTTGTTCCTAACGGAGCCTAGGGTTTATGGAGAGTCGATCTATCTCTCAAATAGTAGATAAACTTGTGTCATTGTTGTGCTGATATTAATAAAATTAACTCATAATTTCATTCTTTCTCGATGATTTCTGTTGTGTTTTCTTTTCGTTTTTTTTTTTTTTGTATGGAGATCAAATTCCTATCGTAGTGTTTATATTATTATTTTTCTGAATTGATTTATGTTTTAAGTACTGGAGCTAGGATATTAAGTATCTGTACGCCTGAATACCTCAATTTAGACTAATACTATACGCCACCTCCATCTTCCATTAGGCTCAAGCAGGATGGGCTGAAGAGGCGGAGAATGCTCTGCTCTAAATTCCTACTTTTCTATTATTATTTTTTTTTTTGTTCTTTTCCTTTTTAAACAAACTTGTTCTTGGTATCTTTAAAAGAGTCCATACTTTAGTTTAATGTATCTTCTTGCAATGTGATTAGTATAACTCAGTGAAATTTTACATCCTAAATAAGACCAAAAATTTGTTATAGTTTTTATATAACAATCCTTGGATATTTTCTTGTCATTACACCTAAACGGTCTTTAGAAAGATTTTCTTTCTATTTCTTCTTTCACTCTTAGAAAAACCAAGTTACGCCTGGACAAGACAAGTATACTCGTTTGGTTCATTCTGTTATTATGTATTGTCCTGATTATGTTTTCTTCTGGTTTGGTGCAGCTTTCACAGTAGAATTCACCAGGTCTCAGATAGTTGCCTCAATTCCTGGGACTTTTTTCTGTGCTTGGTATGCTTCTCAGAAGCATTGGTTAGCAAACAATATTTTGGGAATTTCGTTCTGCATTCAGGTTTGCTTCTCTCTTACTTAATGGGTTATCTTGATGATTTATCTTCCAACAAAAACATATGGTTACCATATTTGCAATAAATTACTATTTTTTGATGAACGGGTAAATCTTTTTGTTAGAAGTTTTCTTTTAAAAGTAGTTTCTATGTATTTGCCTTGATATCCTTTTAGCCTTATGCCTAACCCTACTTTTCCTTAAAAGAGTTAAATTGATTAAAATTCAATATAGCTTGAGATTTGTACCTCACCGAATATTAAATATTAACTACATAGCACTTAAATCACTATGTGCAAAATGGTCATCTAGAACTTTGTTAAGCATGAACTGTTTTGTTTCATATATTTGTTGGATAATTTTGTTGGTTGAATCATTCTTTCCGTCTCTTCCCCCTTCTAGGTATAACAATCTTGGCTAAAACAACCCTTAAGGTACAATACCCCTCGTGGGGTGCATTGCATACCTCATAAAGATACCACTTGAAAATGCATCAACCCATCATTCATTGGCTTCCTAGGGTGTTCTAGCCCATTTTGGGGCTTCTCAATAGGCAGTAGCCATGGCCACAATGTGGACATTGAGGACCCATACCTGCACTAACCTGACCCAAAACTGTATATATATATATATAAAGTTTAATAATTTTTTAGGTTTTCAAATCCCAAGTTTCCCCTTTTCCCTACCTAGCCATCGGCGCATCATAATGTTCTCAATCATTCCCCCTATCCAACGTCGGGCCCATACTCGTAGTTCACCTTTAATCTTGATTATACCGCCTGCTTGAAGGAGATTCAGAGAGGAGCAAGGTTGTCGTAATTCCTATGGGAATTGGGAGGAAGATTGAGCCCTTAATCATGTTGGCATTTCCTGCTGGAAGGAGATATGAAGAGAAGTGGGGCCATCGTGCATTGTTTGTAGGAGCCAAGAGGGAGATTAGGAGAGAGGAGAGGGCCTCCTTTGTGTTGATTGTACTCACACCAGTGGCACCACCTTGTGGAGGGAGCTTGGAGAGGTCAAAGAAGAGGGATTGCCATCAGCTAGTCACGCTGCTTGCCAGTGTGTTTTGATCATCAATTGATAATGTCAAATTAGCTTTTAAATCTTCAATTACATGACTTTTTCATAGATTAAAGTTTTATTTATTTATTGTCAAATTAATCGATTTACTTCTCCTTGTTTTTTTGTCTTTTTGTTGGTGTAATCAATAATGAAAGGAAGATAAAAAAACGTAGGTTGAAATCTTAATGCTTAACTACATGTATGGAGAAATTTTTACCATATCAATTCAACACATTTTTCAAAATTCAACTTTTTAACTAAAAATTAACCCTTAAATTCATACAAAAGCTCAAAATAATTATTCAGGTTTAGAAAAAAGGTGAAACCAATTAGATTTATATCTTCATTCCTTGAGAAAGATGGATGGTAAGCTTAAGGGATGAACTTTTCATTTTCCTTAATGTAAAATTTGAGTCTCAAACAATCTATTTTTAAAAAAGTAATACAAATAAATCAAAATTTAAAGGTAGATAGAAATATTGTCTAATTATATATATTGAAAATCATCTCTGTGTCCCCCTAAAAAAAAAAAAATGTGTCCCCCAAAAAAAAAAAAAAAAAAAAATCTTAGCTCAGCTCCTAGCAACCATTACAACTTATGTGAGGCTATTATCATGGTTACTTGAAATGACACGATACCATAGGGTCTAATGGCACTAGTTGGTGGTTGCGGTTGCGGGCATTGCCACTCATCCTTATATTGGTAAAGCCCACTTTCTCCTCTCATCATGGGCCTACTAGTAGCTAGATATATTGAGTCTCATATTTTCTAATGTTGGCAAAATTTGGAAGAGAGGATAAATTATTCTAGGCATCTTCAATTGGTGTTAACAAGGTGATAGTATTGAAAGGTTATATTTCAAATCATACGAAATGTACAAATAATTAAATTCGGTTAACAAGCAATTTATTTATGGAAGAAAGGTGATAATATTATATAAAATTCTCTTTTAGCCCATAACTTATTGCCATATTGTAATTAGTAGAAAAGATAACAGACCATATATTACTTCTTATTATTGCTTATCATGGAAAAACCATTGTTTTATTTTTAAGTTTATCGTATATACCAACTTCTAAGTAGTTACACCACCTTATGCTACTAATGGTTTGTTATCTATGGATCATTTCAAAAGTTTTGCGCTTTTGCAATTTGCACTCTAATGCTTGCTAGAGTACCACATAACATTGCTTATGTGCATGCCTATACAAACAAAAACAAAAAAAAATCATACACATAAACCAGAGCTTGTCCCACTTTAGCCACATTACACAATCATAAAATTGCTTAGTGCAAACGTGTTTCTATGGGCCAAACTCATTTGAAAGCATCTTCTCTATCATTCAACTATCACATATATTTGTCATCATTTTTTATGAATCCTCAACCAATTCATTCTTCTTAATCTTCGGGAGATCTTGATCTATGTTGTGCAACTCTAGCTATTTCACTTATGGTTTATCCTTGTTTTGCCTATTTCTTCCATATTTATCATACACTGCATCACCATAAGTCTATTTTTTTATTTCCTCACTTTCAAGCGTTGCTACTTCCACCATTAAATTCATATGATTTCTCACTTGATCCTTAGAATATATTTATTTCAACTTTTTCATTTTACTTACTCAACTAGGTTATTTGAGATTTTGGTGCCCAACAAACAAATCCACATTGCTTAACCGGTCAATTGCAATTTAATAATATTAACTTTTCAATTTAATTGAAGTTTATTGACGTGTAGTACTCCTAAAGTGGCCCATTTTATCCTCTCTCATCTTTCACTTTGGAATTTGTCCTATTTATGTCTCTGTTTGTTCGTATAATGTATCCAGTGTATTTAAACTGATCACTTCGAGTATCATTTAATCTTCAAGTAATAGTATATGATAATTATTAGTATACAACCAATTAAATTGTATTTCATATAATCAATATTTGTTTTACTAATCTTTAGCTCCAATTCGTCCTAAAGTTTTCTTCAGAAAATCTAACCTTGCATTTCAGCTCACTTATCAAATTATTTTATCAGCAAATGGTATACAATTTGATGCTTTAATATAAATATATTTTTTATAACCCATACCAAAAATATGGGCTAGATATAGAGTTAATGTTTGTTCTTGATTCAATCCTATTATGATTGAAAATTATATGATCATTGTTACTCATTGTTGTATCATACCCATCTTTTTATAATATTAACATACGTTTCTTCTTCATGCCTACCATATCAATAATTATGGTTTTTAGTGATATACCTTTCAAACTTGTGGCAATTATAGAAGAATACTTGTGAATCATGCGATGTGGGTTATGGGAGAGGAAATAAAGGCTTAGAAAAATCACATTAGTACCGGAGAATTAATTAAATTTTATGCTAGGAAATTCTAATATGAAGGTGATTTTTATGCTGAAGTATCGATGGACATATAAAGAGGGTCAAAATGATATTTGACCTGGAAACAATATAGAAACCTAATTGCTAATTTTTGGTTGAATGATGTTCAAAACCATTAGAACAATTTTTTAGCTGTGAGATGTTGTGGATTACTCACCAAAGCTTTTGAAAAGCACTTTACTTTCTGCATTAAGGCTTTGTTTGGGAAGGCTTTCTTGTTGCTTCTTAAAGCAGCTTTCTAGTACAAATATTTTAATTTTTGTGTTGAAATGCTTTTTTAAAAAGCAGCAAAAAAGCCGCCCCAAACGAAGCCTAAGTGTTTGTTTTGTATAGTTGTAATTTGTAAAAGTAAGAAAATTATTATGGGAAAAGTAGATTCTTTGAAAACTATTGGACAGTATAATATTTATTTTTGAAAAAAAATCAAATAGCAACTTTCTTACAATCCATATTTAGTATCCAGATATAAAAATTGCTTCCCATTATAGAAATTTCAAAATTTCTAATTACAAGAAGAAAATTGCATGCAAATAAGAGAGTGGTAGCTTTCTGTAAAGAAAAACTGAAAAATTGCCTCAAATAACCTGCAATCTCTACAAGTGGATTTTATGCTAAATATCTTGTAATTACAGTTATTTTCTGTTCAATTTGATCTCTGTACACTTCTATCCTTCACTTTCTTGATTTACATAATTTTAGTCTGAAGGAATATTGCTTGTTGAAAAGTTGTGAAGTTGATTTCTTAACAATTTCTCAATGAGATTTATTCTGGAAGAAAGCTTATTGGCTGGACAAAAGCTTTGACCTTTGTTGCCTGTGGACCAGGCTTCTTTACTTTTAATCTTTTTTATTTTTTATTTTTACTTATAATATCTTTGAATTTGAGCTTCAAATCAAAACTTTGATGTGCTCTAGGGCTGCCATGCCGAATGGATCAGTTCAGAGGAGAACCTCTCAGGAAACAACATTACTCTGAGGAGAAAATTTCGGGATTAATCTCCTTGTTTAATCTATCAAAGGCAGCTCTTATTTTCCATTGTCAAGAATGTGATTCACTATTTAAGAAAACAACATGAGACCATGGAATTTATTTTTAATAACTAAGACATTAATCTGAAGTAATCACCTTTCACTGCTTATTTTGCTCCCTAATTTCCAATGCTATTTTCTCACTTTACACGTTAACCTACGTGTCCTTTTTTAACATTTTACAGGGTATTGAGATGCTGTCTTTGGGTTCATTTAAAACTGGAGCTATACTGCTGGTGAGGAAAAAGCTTTTCTTTAATCACTTAGGCTTTGTTTGGGACAGCTTTCTTACTACTTCTTAAAGCGGCTTTCTAGTTCAAAAATTAAAATTTTAATACTAGAAAGCAACTTTAAGAAGCAATAAGAAAGCCGTCCCAAACAAAGCCATAATTCACATTTTTTATGATGTTTTTCAGTTACGAGCTCGGTAGAGTTGTGCACTATTTTTATAATAATTTAGTTCTTATTTGTTTGTCTGCTTTTCTTTACATCATTCTTTGCCTTCAGCTGCTTATAATCTAATTTGTTACCTCACATTTGCATAAATTTGATTACTTATCCTTTAGCGGCATCAAGAATTTAAGAGGAAATCTAAAGAAGGAAATCGGTAGATGATAACACGGGTGGATGAAAAACAACATGACTAGAAGTTTGTGTGAATTCAGCACTTCGGAAAGCCAACTCAAACTTGTTGGGGTAGGGTTGAGAAAGTGTTTTAGGCTTCGTTTGGAACGGTTTTTTTAGTTTTTCTTAAAGCAGTTTTCTAATACAAAAATTTTAATTATTGAACTAGAAAGCTGCTTTAAGAAGCAGGAAAAAAGCCGTTCCTAACGAAGCCTTTTAGTGTTATTGCATTAGAGAAAGTGCTTCCACTTGTGCAGTGTTCAGGTCCCAGGGTACAAGATTATCATAGTTTTTAGTTTCAGTTGTGGTCAAATCCTGCAGTCATTGTCACGATTATTCACAGGTTGAACCATAAATTACATTCTTAGGGCGCTTCGGTTGCGAGTATTATATATAAATTTTTTTTTCACGAAAAAGTAGGTTGACTTTCTTTCAACTATTACATTCTAACAGATCTGGTTATTATAAATCTGGTTTTGAAAAGCTTATTCTCACTACAAATTTTTTTGAAAAGAAACAAGTATGGAAGTGTGGCTGCAATATGTGAATCTTAAAAAAACCATCCCAAATGCACCCTTAGATAGTATTGTAGTTTCAGTTTCTTTTTTTTTTTGTGGTTTTGATTTCTCCATTAACAGTCCATCTGATATGGCTTAACGCATAATTCTAATGCTAAGGACTGAGTTTTTATATTATTATTGAATGGTAGTAAATATAATATATGAAGAAGATAAAAATAACCATCTTCTATTCATATTATGAAACATATGTTGGTTTTTCCCATATAGCCATCAGTAAACGAGTGGCTGATTGGCTTACATTTTCCTGCAGTCTGGTCTTTTTGTTTATGACATCTTCTGGGTGTTCTTTACTCCTGTGATGGTCAGCGTGGCTAAATCTTTCGATGCTCCCATAAAGGTTAGTCTTCTATTGTGATATATGAATCTTGAAAAATGTTATTTTCATCTACGTACACTTCTAAGCGACGTTATATTTCAACAGCTTCTGTTCCCCACTTCAGATGCTGCAAGACCCTTCTCCATGCTTGGCCTTGGTGATATTGTAATACCTGGTGAGAAGCTTTGTATTGCTTGTTAGAGATGATGGTTTTAACTAGTTCATTGTATTTCTTTATCATCCAAGTTTGTATTGGTTTTTGTTTGCTATACAGATATTTGGTTTCCACTGATCATTTATTTCTCCTCTGGCCTTCCAGATTGTAATTATCTGCTTGAATTTGCTTACAGGTATTTTTGTTGCATTGGCCTTGCGTTTTGATGTCTCAAGAGGGAAACAAAATCGTTATTTTAATAGTGCTTTTCTTGGCTACACTGTTGGTTTGGTCCTTACCATAGTTGTGATGAACTGGTTTCAAGCTGCACAGGTGAGTTTATGGTGCTTTATACTGTTTATGTTCATAACATTTCTGTTTCGATCCTCACTATGACTGTTCATTGTCTTCTGTAACGTGCAGCCTGCTCTCCTCTATATAGTTCCTGGTGTAGTTGGGTTTGTAGCAGTCCATTGTATATGGAATGGTGAAGTAAAGCCGGTTTGTTCTCTAACTACTCCAATTCATGTTTGTTTGTTCTTGTTATGCAAGCTCATCAATCTTGCCTTTTTGCATGTTTGTTCTTTTTTAATTCAATTTCATCCGGGATGAATTATGTTATGCTGTGGTAATAATATGAAAAATGGTTTGTGAACAAGGACAAATAATTCTGTGCGGACCTCGGACGCATCCGGAGACCAATCAGAGCGTGTTATGTCACTTTTTGTTTGGTACTGCTGTGTACCGGGCGACATAACGCGTTCTGGTTGATCTCCGGACCGTCTGATGTCCGCACAGAATAATTTCTCATGAACAAGCCATGAAAGATGATTCGAGATTTTATCGTTATGTAGAGAGGATAATGGGGGATATACTTATCAACATTTGGGGAATTTTGATTTGTAGGTTTTGAAATGAGTAGAAGCATCCAATGGAAGGAAATGCTTCAATCATCTATGAAGTATGTAAATGTGAAAAAAAAAATATAGGCCAATAAAGATAGAGAAATCATCCCAATAGAATCATTAGAAATCTATACGATATTGTATATAACCCTAATCTGTAATTGCGAATCACTAACATGAACGTGGACTTCAGCATGATAGATGTTTGGTGAAATTAGAAATCTTAAAAGAGTGAGAAATCATTTATATCTCTCAAATATAACATCTAGAAGAGATGTTTATTGAAGAATAAGATAAATAGAAGACTTGTTCCTGTTGCAGATATTTTTTTACTCAAATCAGTTTTTTTGAAATGAGCATATACGTGTGAAAAGGTCGGAGTAGCTCAAGTGGAAAATGAAATTAGAGAGAGTTGCCTTAGATGGTTTGGTCACATAAAACGGCGGCCTTCCGATGACCCGGTTAGGAAAATAGATGTACTAGATTTGACTTATGTTAAGAACGGTAAGTTCAGCACAATTTTGTGATTTAGGAAAAATACAAGCTCTTCGTGTTCTAACTTGGGATGTTTTTCATTGATTCTCATATATTTATTAGAGAAGAGAAATGTTTGTTGAATAATTTGCCATCATTGTTGGGAGAAAATTTGAGTCATGATGAATTTTGAAATCGTGAAATTTATTTTTATTTTGAGTGAGTATAGTATATGATTAATTAATTATTTTTTATATTATAATTACTTTAAAATAAAGTTAATAATTTTAAAATATCATAAGTAATTTTTTATTATTTTAATAAGGATATTATGTTCCAAAAGTTTTATTTCTTTTCCTTTGGTATTGCATTGTTTATTAGCATTGTTCTAAGGATATTATATATATATATATATTTTAAATGATTTAGATTCAATTGTGTTCATATTATTTAGAGCATATTAGATTTTTTTTCTTATTGTAGATTTTTTTCATAATTATATGTTGTGGAATCATTCAAATATATTTTTATAATTATAATTTGTTCGATGATTAAATATTATGAAGATTGAGACATGAGAGCAATTTTCATATAGTAGATTTCAATAACATATTTCAAGACAAGTTCATTATTTTTAGCTGCGTACAAATCATTTGACTCAAATTTGATAACTTTAATTATTTTGAAAGGAATATAATATATTATTAATCAATTAATTTATATGTTATCTCATTTAAAAATAAATTTAATAATTAAAAAAAATCTATCCTTTAAAGATACTCTAACCTCAAAAATAACTATGAAATAAAACACATCACATTCCCTGAATTTGTTCAAAACCAAATAGAGCCTAAACAACGGAACAGAAGCTGTCAAGCGTTTGAATTCCATCAAACATTAAAGGGGAAAAACAAAAGGAGAAATTGGAACTTTCATATAAAGCATGGAAGCCTCAATGATATAAGAAAGAGAATCGAAGATTGGATTTAGGGTAGAGAAGAGGCAGTAGAAAGAAGTAAAGAACAATGAAGAAACAGTGAGAGTATTTAAAGAATTAGTGAAGGCTATGTTATCATTTCATAGAAGGATAAACCATTTAAAGCGCAACGAGAATCGTCCGGATTTGCTGTCATTTTACTGTGCTTTTAAAAATACTCAACAAAATGACATTAAATATGCATTCATAATTGCACTATTACTGTCATTTTACTGAGAATTTACAAAAGCACAATAAAATGTCAGCAAATATTCAATTAGTAGGAAATTTGTTGCGCTTTAGCTGACATTTTACTGCGTTTTTGCAAATACCCAGCAAAAGAGCATAGCAAAAGGACAGCTAAAACACAACAAATCTGAACGGTTCTTTCTGTCCGATCTCCACACATAATAATTTCTCCAAATGTGGCCACCATAAAATTACTCTTAACTCTAACTGTCTTCAGGAACAAGTAAGGAAGTATAAATACATTCAATACAGCTATAGATGCATTGGAGAAGCTAAACTACTACGAAGTTATAGTTAGCCTAAGAAAGCTTAACGAATGGATTCAGAGCCAAGCCTACATTCTGAAATCAATAACGCAAACTGTGCTGTTAGAGAAACAAGCAGCTATTTTGTTACCTTCTTTGTTCCAGCAGACTTCAAAAATACCACCACCACCACTATATGTCTTGATTAGCTTCCCTTCCTTCACAGACCATAAGTGAAGGCATTGATCAAGCGAACCGCTAGCCAGGAACTGACCGTTTGGACTAAAGGCAACAGAGTATACAGGTTGCCTGCTTATGCATTTTGTGAAAGTTGGAATCAAGTCTCAGGCTTCGGCTTCATTTGTGACGGCTTTCTTTCTGCTTCTTAAAGTAACTTTTTATTGCTTTAAGAAGCAGCAAGAAAGCCGTCCCAAATGAAACCTTAATCAAAGTATAATAAAGTATGAGAAAATTATTCAAGAATACGGGCCATAAAGTAAATAGTAAATACCTATGACCATTCAGGCTGTACAAGAGACTACCATGCTCCACCTCCCATAGCTTAATAGTCGAATCGAAGGAAGCACTACATGAGCATAAAATGACAACTCAATGAGGAACATAGGAAGCCCATGGAAAAGTTTTACCAGATGGAAGATAAAGGCCAAGTTAACATTGGAAATAAGAAAGGAATTAGAACTAGTGCTGAGTAATGCTGTAATCCATAGACAATAATTCAAAACAAGACCTGAGTAAAATTTTGCTTGCCAAAACAAGACGCCAACAGGGGCGGATTCAGCTTCTTTTTTCAGGATGGGTAAAAGACGCTTAGGATTGATAAAATTAGGATAAAAAAAATTTTTGATGAGGGAGAAATACCTAAAATACCCAAAATATTTCAAAATATTCCCTTTAAATATTTATGCCCACCCTGAGTACATGGGGGATCCGCCCATGCCAACACTCGCTAGATCTTTTGGAATTCATAAAAATAAATAGCAAATAGATTACGATTCCATGCATTATTCACTACGCTGTGTATACTTGCCTTGCCAATATTAGCTGCTGATTAGGGTTATTTGTGCCCGAGCTTGTGGGGCTCCATCTAATTGTATATATTTCCTGATGGAAACAATTCAGTACTTGTTATAGAAATCAACTTCGTAAACAGGAGAAAGTAGAGCTTGAAAAGGAGAACTAAAACCTTAAGGTGATCCCTGAAGTCATGCAGACATTTATCATGCTTCAGGCTCCATATCTGAAAAAAATTTATGTGTCATTGTTCAAGAAAAAAAAAATTATCACAGAATTATTACAAGAACGATTTGACAGTCTGCAACAGAAAATTTTTCAACAGAATAGTTGGAGCAGCAGTGTAGCCATTACATATTGAAAGGAAAAAGAAGTGAAATTCTGGCATAAATTATATCAGCACAGTAATTAGGTGAATGAAACACAATAATTAAAATAAAGAAAATCTAAGAGATGAAGGAACAAAATAATAATAATAATTATTATTATTACAATTATCTGATAAACTAAGTTCAGCATCAAATGTCTAAGAAAATATAGATCAAGGAGAGGCACTTTTCAAAAGGCATAACAGTGGCATGAACATTTACAGTCTCATATACAACAGATTAAAGGAGGAATATATTAAAGTAAACAGATTAGATTTTAATTGGCCCCCACCATGAAGTTCTACAGTAAACTTCAGTGAAGAAGAAAGCAATTACAAAATAAGCATCAGCCAGATTCAACTATTTCAAATCGTTTTTATAAACCCTCATTCTCTATTCATTCTTGTTGAGTGTTTTGCTTTAAATGAGAAAAGGCTCGTTATTTACAAACAACTCATGTTACATTAGCTCATTGAACATATATTTTGACCTTATTTTGTTAATGAGCCAAACAGACAAAACCTTATTCGATCATGTTTTGCTCCTTAATTGCTTGAACAAAAATAATATGAATAAAAAAAATATAAAATTTTGTATTTATTATATTTCGATCATAGCTACTGGATAAAAATGCAATCCTGATATTTAATTCTAGGCCTTTATCCCCGATATAAAAGGTGTTGAAGAACCAAACAAGATCTTAACCCTATCATTCATTGAAACTTAGAAATATTTTCTTTCGCTCTGCCTCTCTCACAACTCTCGCCTCTGTGGTTTTGCGCTGCTGGGCTGCTGCTCAAGATTTTCTTAAGGTTTGCATATTTTTTCAAGCAATAGTTCTAAGTTTTCTGGCTAACTAGCTCACCTCTAAAAGAAAACCTAATTTTGAAGTTTTCTTGAGATTGTGGGTAATTCCTTGTGGTGCAGAATGTTGGTCATTAAAAGAAAGCATAAAATTAGGTTATGTTGTAGAGAAGAGAATGTTTAGGTGAATGAGTGACTTTACACTTAAAGACAGAATGCGAGACAAAATGCGAAACGAGTATTTATGTGAAAAGGTTGGAGTATCTCAAGCAGCAGATAAGATTAGAGAGTCAATAAAGATGGTTTAGTCATATAAAACGCCTGTCTTACGATGACCTTCTTAGAAGAATAGATGTATTAGATCTAACCTATATTAAAAAAGGTAGAGGTAGACCTAAAAAAACTTGGTTATAAAGTATCAAAGTATTAAAAACGATTTTTTTATTAGATTTAAATGAGAATTTGACTCTTAATAAGACAAAATGTAGAAAAATAATTCATGTAACTGACCAAGGCTTGTTGTTGTCGTCGTCTTCTTGACACAGTTATGATAAGATCTATGAAAGTTTATTTGTGATGTTTAGATGCTTGTCTCAAAATATAATTTTTACATACACATGTTATTTGGTTATAGTCATGCATATCTATTACGATATGTAAATGTAGAAAAGCTAAGCATAAGAATATAATCATCGAGATGATTTGTTATAAACTGTACAAGTAATCTTCTAATATGTTCTTAAAAAGGTCAATTGCTTGGTTACACAAGTTTGTAAAAGTTTCAAAACACTTGGGAGTTCCTAGATCAAAAGGTTTGTTTATTGACGTTTCGACAAGCTGTAACTCAATTTCCTTTATGCTTGAGCCCTTTTTATATATTGTAATTTTTATAGTTATTAGGAAACTATAGAATAACTATAGTCAGTTTTCAGTGGAATATAATTTGAGACAGCATGAAAAAATAGAAAATCCCCTGAAGTGTTCAATTCTTTCATATATATGAATATGCCAAATTTATGCATTTCAATTCTTTTATGGTTGACATGGCAATCCGCATAACTAGTGCAGTTCTATACAAGAGTAAGAACATTAAATTTTAATCATAGCCTCTAATTCCCTAATTAGATATATGCCCAAGTAGTTCTGAAAACAAAGAGATTGTAATGGAGTCATTAGTCAATCAAAAAAATTAAGAGGATGTGAAGAAGTTGCGAACTTGTAATTTAATCAAATGAATAAAATAATTTAGACCACTTCTTTGTAATTGCGAACTTGTAATTTCATCTTCAACCAGATCGTGAACCAATTGGGAGTGAAATTGGTAGATACATGATATTATGGGGTGATGATGGGTATAAGGAAGTTGGAGATATGTCAGGGGATCTGTAGAGGAATAGTTTTGACCATACAAGGGGTTCAGATGAGGGAAGATTTTCTTTCATTGGAGTTAGGGAGCACTGATGTCATCCTGGGGATGAAGTGGTTGCAAACCTTGGAGACACCAAGGTCAACTGGGGGGCATTGATGATGAAGCTGGTTGTGAAAGGGAGAAGAGTAGTGACAAGGGGAGATGCAGGGCTATCGAAATCAATGGTATCGCTTAAAACCATGATGAGGAGCATACAGGAGGTGGGGGAAGGTTGTCTTGTGGAACTACACAGGTTTGAGGGGATCAGATTGGAGGAGGGAGGGGACGTTCCTCTTTCAGTGCAACCCTTGATTCAACAATTCAGTCAGATTTTTCAGCCACCTCAAGGATTGTCACCTCCGTTGTTTCCTAATTTAAGAGGATATATTTAGGGGCTGATTTAGGGGCTGATTAATTAGGAAATGTTTCCTAATTGAAGAGGATAGTTTTAGGGGATGATTTGAGGGCTAATTTGGGAGGAAAATAATTAAGGAAATAGGAGGGAATTAGGGGAGGGATGTTTGGGTATTTGTTGTTTAATTGTTTACTTTAAATAGGAAGAGAGGATTAGGGTTAGGGGCATGCATGATTATTGTGGCTGATTTGATGTCTTTGGTTCTTGGCGTCTTGGGCCCTAGCTTCGTCTAGCGGTTGGGAGAGATTGATCCACCTCTCGAATTGAGGATCTATTGTATATTGTTTTTCTTCTTCTGATAGTTTGATTGTCATAATAAAACTACCGTTTTTCTCTGGTTTTTTATCAAATTTGTGGAGTTTCCTCATTGTTTCATCAATATTGTTAGGGTTTACTTGAGATCTTCAAATATTTTCTAACATAAACATGACGTTTTGCCCATGTTTTATAGAACCCTAGCCATACTACTAAAGTTTTTAAAAACATTGGTACTGATTACTATAGATTGAATATGAAATCATGAAACATCGTTATAAGAGATTTGTACTCTTGCTAAACTCTACGAGATGTAAGAATCCTGATGTCCCCAATTAAATATTCTAATAGAAATCAACCCAATCTATGACTCAAGATATAACCAAGAAAGTTGCTAACCCCCTCTATCCTTCACATACACGAGCCACATGCACGAAAGAAGACTTCTACCATCTCACTCCGGCTTGGTTTAATCTTAAGAGAGCATAAACCTCCTAAGCATATCAAAAAATATTTAGATCCCCTCACTTTAGTTGCAAAATATCATCCTTTTGCTTAAGGCTTAACCTTTTAAAAGAGGCTTAACCAACTTATCTTATTTAACTCAATTAATGGTCGTTAGTCGCTCAACTACTTTATGTTGAGTGTCGATTGTCACTTCCTATCTAATATTGATTGCTACCCTTTGTTGATCCTTGCTAGCCGCCAAGCACCAATCATCAATCAAATAATCACTGATAAGAATGTTATTGATCACCAATGTACAAGTATCGTCAAACATCGAACACAGGCAAGCTCAAGATTGGTTGAGAGTCAAAAGTGGCACAACCTAGTTCATCCAATTTCATAGTGAGATTCATGCAATTTAGCTACAAGAATCCAACCAAGTTTTAAACTTCAAAGTATTCCGAAATAACTTAACTAATTAAAGTAAAGTTTATCTTTTAATCAATCAAGCTGCTTAACTTTGTTGATCTCAGTTAGATTCCTCACTTAACAAGCTTTAGCCAATGAAAAGCCCTAGCCTGGTAAGTGCTGGGGCAATCCAACATCTTTGGTCTACTCCTTTCCTTCCTAATTCTTTCATATTAATTTCATTTGTCGGTCTTATTTAAGGATATTAAAAAAAAAAAAACTTGTGATTCATGAAAAACTTGTGTTCAGTGTGCTAAGAAGCTCGTGTGTGATTTTCTTGCTAAGTATGCAAGCTGAGGTTGAACAGTTATTTTAATCTTGCTTTCTTAACAAGCCAAACACAAATAGAATATTGTTCAATCATGTTCAACTCGTTATTAACTCAATATATATTATTAATTTATATTTTTCTAAATGTATTAATTAGTTGGAAAATAAGTAGAGAATGATTCGATCATATTCGACTCCAATTCGAACAAGCCAAATACGAAAATGATGTTCAAGTATAATTTGAACACGAGTCAAGTTTGAACAAATGAAAATTCAAACAAGCCGGATGAAAACACACAAGTTTAGCTCATTTGCACCCCAAATTTATTGATACATTTACTAAGATCTATTATGCACACCCAAATCATATAAAGTCTAATCTCCAAAACCATATTTTTAGTAGGTGCTCCGCCCAACAATCTCTCATAAGCATGTTGGAAGAAGAAAAGCTTTATGTCAAATAATTTTTTGTTGAAGGCATGGTCAAATCTTCTAACAAGATAATGTCACTTATATATTAAAAAAGTATATCACAAGGTATAAATTAAAAATTAGTGGAAGGGACAACGTTAACAAGTTCAAATATTATAAGCAAAAATTGTGTAAATCATAGAGGAAAAAAACCTGCATGAAGCACACGACAGTAAACTGAGTCCAATTCTTAGTGACAATGTGTGCTAAAGAGCTACACTTTACAGTTTGAAATAATACCTTTGCCGTTCCATCATCAGAGCAAGAAGCTAACAAAGAGCCACTTGGATCCCATTTGATAGCATTGACTTCACCCTGAAATGACAAGTAAAATTCAACGGCTATCACAATGTTAGATGAGATGAATGTTGGACTGCTTGACGCTAACGGTTATCACATTATTTTTTTTATTTCAAGGTGATTGACCGACCCTCTTATTGCTGCCTTTATTGCATTTTTGTTGAGAATGAACAGACTGATGGTGAGAAAGGGACTGATAGGCTCTCTCTCTCTCTCTCTCACACACACACACACACAAAATCCCTCCCTCCCTCAGACTCCCTCTTTCATCCTCTCTCTCTTCCCACCCCAAGGCATCTATAGGTGTGTGAGTTACTAAACCACATCAAAGTTTTAAACTACATTCAGCTAAGCCCTTAATTTTAGAAAAGCTTGAAAAAAATTTCAAAAGAAAAAAAAAATAAGACTGATATTTTAATATAATTCATGCATAAATCAAATAAATAGATCGTGTAGACAAATTTGAAGATTATATTTGAATATATAGAGTTGATGTAAACATTCAAAAAAAATTTATGATTTAATTTAAATATGCAATTACGTCTCATCACCTGTAGGTCTAAGGTAGAAACTCCAAGCCATTATTCCTCTTGGTGATGGGTTTGTGGATAAAAAGTCGACGACAAGGAGACATCATAAACCCAGATGAGATATGACCGTATTGATGATTGGAGGTAGGCATGATTTACCAACAAAAGTCGTAATAAATTCCTTTGCAATCATACTCATTAAGGGCTTGTTTGGCTGAGCTTACGCTTTTTTGTTTTTTTTCAAACAGAGCTTTAATAAATCTATTTTATAGCCAGAGGTTTTATACTGCAGTTGAAAAAACTCATTTTATAAAGAAAATGTTCGAAAAACATCCTACTTTTTTCATCCAAAAAATATGTTACCACAAAAGCAGGCCAAAGAACTAAAACAACGGAGGCCTATTATCAAGGGTGAAGATTAAACAAATTTTCACATAAGACGCTATTGGAAACAATAGTTTTAAGAAGATACAAAATAATAACCATAGAAAGGAACAAGGCCCCAAATCTACGCATCCATATGCTTACATCCAACATTCCAACCCACAATGAGAGAGAAACTTTTATCCAAAACTATTAAACAAAAAGAGAGCTTTGGTTTGAAATTTTAGTTCTCTTATTTTTTCTTTCATTTTTTCTGCTATATGGTAAGAAAAACAACATTTTCTATAAAGAAAAGTTATAAATCTAGATTGCAATCAATATATTAAGCTACTTTTACAACAACTAGCATTAACACAATTTCTTAAGGGATTCATGTCATTATTGTTCGACAAGTTTTACGCTGGCTGTCGACTACCTAACGCAACCCTCCACTTTTCTCATCCAGGACTTGGGACCTGGCAACGGCAGTGTTGTTAAGCTACTTTTAAAACAAGAAAAAAAAAAAGACAAGTTAAATGTTTCTAATATATACTCTAATCATATCTACCTATTATTTACTATTATAATGGCTAAATTCTCTCCTTAATTAATAAAAAAATGAAGCTTAAAAATATATATTTTTTGTTTTATTAAGAGTTCTATTACAAAAGAACATATTAATACATGAACTCGCTTAATATTTTTAACCTTTTTAATTCTATGTTAAAAAAATAACATTTCCAATCTAGAAAAATATATAAATCACATATATAAAATCTAAATCTATATCTATAAATAAATATTTTAAGCTATTTCCAAAAGTTTAAACATTAAAATGGCGAATTAAATGTATCAAATATATACTCTAATAATATCTAAATATTAAGTATTATTTTACTGATTAAACTCTCTCCTTAATTGATAAAAATTTTCAATTTACAAGAAATTTATTTTTTATATTTTATATAATTATTCATATTAAAAAATAAATTTTTGCATACATTATATTATTTTATATCTGTTGTATATTTCATCAAGTTGACTCAAGCTAATTAAATCAAATCGGGCCAAATTTCAAATAAGAAATGATTTTGATTTTTTTTTAATCTTCAGTAGCCCTTCATATGACTTTTTTCACAACTTTTACCTTAAAATAGAATATAAATGGAGCTTTCTCAAAATTGATTAAAGTGCATGAAACTTTCAGAAAGATGGCCTCATTTTTTTAAAAACCTTTTAAAATTTTTTAAAGAATTTCCTATTTTTAAATTGTATTTTGTTATGCCGGTCCAGCCTGGACCGGCTCATCCTGGACCGGCCCAGCCGGTCCGGGCTTATGCCCGACGGAAGAAGGCGGAAGGGAGAGGGGGAACCGGGGTGGGGTCCAATTGATTTCAATTTGAAATTAATTGTTTTTGGAGGGAGAATGAAGGGTAGAGAAGTCCTTTTGCTTTTAATTTGAATTAGAGTGTATTAAATAGGGAGTTATGAGGAGAGGGGTTTTTCATCTTGCATTTTGAAATTACTTTGGGTTCTAGGTTTTCTTGCTTGGGCTCTCGGCGTTGCCGGAGATTGTAGGAGAGTTGTTCTTCCTCTCGAATTGAAGAACATTGTATCGGGCTTTGGTTTTGATTGCTTACTAGTGGAATACAATCGTCGCTAGTGTTTTCCTACAAGTTCTTCCCTATTTCCGCTGTTTTTGCGCTATTTGTGTGCCGATTTGGGTTAGGTTTGCTTGCGAACTCAAGTATTACCTTAGGGTTACTTGCGAACTCAAGTATTTCCTATCATATTTCTTAAATAATAAACTTGCATCTACGATCATTAAAAAAAATAAAGCTCATAATTACTCGAAACTTACTCCAAAATAATTAAGTTTTAGTTATTTTGTTGTTATATTAGTATTTTAAATTGTTAAGATTAATTAACTTTGTTGAGGCTATAAACAAAAGTTGAAGAATTCTTTTTTGAAAGATACAAATCAGACAAAAGTTAAACCATACGTGCAAATTGGAGAAGAAATGAACCAAAATAAAACAAAAAAATTGGCTTGATTCTAATTTAGTTTGGAATCCAATAAATGGTGCCATGAAGCAACAATTCTAACTTGAACTAATCGAACCCAAATTAAGTTTTGCCCTCAAAACTTCCGATGGGTTTAGCTAATCCACGTCAATGTAACCGGTTTTTATTTTTTAACCAGGCTTGATGGGAATTTTCATTTAGAAGGTTCAACCAAATGAACATTGAGTTATAATTTATGGACCAAAAAGTCAAAAACTAGCAGGTCAGCTCTGATTTTGTCATTATCCCACACAAACCAAGATTCTTCCTACTGCCATAGCTATCCCCACCCTATCCATTTTCATATTATACATTCAAATCCTCTCACCTTGTCACTCTCTTGTTGGCAAAATTTTTCCATCATTTACCACCTATGTATAACAATCTCTCCCTCTCTCCTCTTCAGTCTTTCTTAGCATTCCTATCAAAGCCCTGCTATCACACATGACCAAGGGCGGAACCAGCCCTAATTTTGAGAGGGGGGGGGGGGCAAATTCAATATATAAATAATTAAATATTAAAAATTTATATGTATAATTAAGAAAATTTTTGTTTTCATCTTTCAAAAAGTACTTCTGAACTAAAGTTGTGCATAGAAAATGAGTCTTCATTACTACCCATTTTCAATTCAAAAACAGAGAATACATACATTGGGAGAAGATAAATCAGAAAATACAATAGATTGCAGAGATGCAATGTTTAAAATTGCGTATTCGGGTATTGAGGCGGTTTTTCATTCGTGAGGCGAGGCGTAAGCCTCAAGGCATTTTGAGGCGTAAGCCTCAAAATCAAAAGATTGTGTAACATAAAATGATAAATTTGTTATATACTAATGAGTGAATAATATAAAACATAAGATATGAAGTGAAATAAAAATATCTCAATAATAAGACAACATGAAATATAGTTCAACTCAAAATTCTATCTTTCCGAAATACCAATATTCTTTTCATTAACATATAATTCCGATTTCCAAAAATAAATAGCAATGACATATCACATAAGAACTCATAAGTCATCAGCACTGTCACCACTAAGGGTTCTTCATTTGAATCATTATTATGGTGAACTGCTGTCTCCCCTTCCTCCTCTCCTATAGAGTCCAATGTCGGGCATTTACTTCAAGATTTATGTAAGTTTTAATATATATAGCGTGAGGCGTAAGCCTCATGCTAGTGAGGCAAGGCAGGCCTCAACCAAGTTGAGGCACAAGCCTCATAAAAAAACCTCGAGGCGTAAGAATTGAGGCGTTTTTTACTGGAATTGCGCAAAGGCGGGCCTCAAGGCGAGCCTCATATTGCGCAATTTTAAACCATGCAGAGATGAATCAAGCTGTTAACATCCGATGGCTCAAATGTAAAGAGGGATGCAACAACGGAAAGTAGGGACAAAAAGGCTTTTTAGGGGGGGCAAAATTGATTGAGGGGCAAAAAGAATTTTTTACTCTCCTATAAGTTTTTTTTTTTTTTTTTGAGGGGGGGCAAGGGTTACATGGGGTTCCGCCCCTACACACGACCCTCTTTTTGCATTTATGATCTAGTCGATGATCTCATCACTGTAGTTATTCAAATGAAGAGAGAAGGATGAGAATTGGAGTGGTAAAAGAGTGCGAAAAGAAAGGAAGAATCAAACCTAACAAGCTTAAAGAAGGTGGCAATTTCTTTCCTCAGAAAAAAAAAAAACTGTTTCATGTCTGCAATGTCGGGCATAGGAGACATGTTGCAAAGCTCAAAAAGATAGTGGCATCAATGAAAACTGATATTTTCAGTTTCCATCAAAGCAGCTACAATAGAGGGAAGACAGTGGAATGCCGTTGGCGGTGATGTGGCTTTCCCTATGCATCAAGGGTAAGAAAAGAAAATATGACAAAAATCAAAACAGATATATCAATCAGCATATGCTGCCCACGGTTGAAAGGCAGCAATGAACTAAGAGAATGGTGCATTTAGTTACCACAAGGCAAGATAGGAAAAACAACCAAGAAAGTGCTCTAAAATCCAGATGAACGGAAGAATACCAACTTCATTTACCTTACAAGTCCAATAAATGCCCAAAGTAAACCACAAGAATCCCACTATAAAAATGTAAATATTATCTTAAGTTGTCCCACATATCTAAAAATTGTTACCCACAATAAATATGAAAAGTTATCTGATAGGAAGTGCTTGTATTCACAAGCAACCTATCCAAAATCTGCGAACCAACAGCAGCCAAATGGCTGTCCACAGCAGGAAAACAGCAGATTTCTGCTGTTTACAGCAGAAAAACAGCACTTGTTCGGGAAAATACGAGAGAAAACTCAAGAAAAGACTTGTATTCCACTTAGACGATGAATAAAAGAGCAAGATACAATTGATCCTCAATTCGAGAGGAGGATCGATCTCTCCCAAATCTCTAGACGCCGCTAGAGCCCAAAGAAACCTAAATCTAAGAGATCTCAAATTTCAGCCAAATTCAAGATGCTCAAATCCTAGGAAAATCTACTATTTAATGCATACAAATCAAAAGGAAATCCCTAAACAGTCCCTACATTCAAATTCCCCTCTTAATTTCCCCAAAAAAGCTTCCTATTCGGCTCCCGCAAGGCGTGCGGTGTGCGCGGCCTCCGCCCAGGCGAACAAATCGCCTGTTTCGCGATATTCGGGCGTGAACCGGTCCCGCCTGGACCGGCTGGACCGGTCCAGTGGACCGGTCTAACATTATCATATTCTAAAACAAGCATGCCCACGTGGAAAGTCTTCCCAATTTAAGTCTATGCCAGAAGAGAGAGAGGTGTATCTTTGACAAGTAAAACCACAAAACTATATCAAAGCAGCTTTCTAAGGAAATAAGGTCCTTTAGGAAGCTAATAAGGTGAACCATAATATCTTAAATTACCCCTGGTACAGGCGTACAGCACAAATGAAAAATGCAGACTAAGAAGTATAGAAATCAATATATGAAAAAGCTTTTTCTCATAAAAATGCCTTGAAAATCATAAACCGCCATTCTAAAAAAATACACCCTGTTAAAAAAAACTGGAACTAATAAATGTTATGGTATATTTGTTGTTCGTTATTTGAATCATGATATAACATTTTTTTTCTGATTGGAGGGTGAAAGGGGAAAGATGTAATAAGAACAATGCACATGCATCAACTAACCTGGTGCCCTGCAAATGCTTTTACTGGGCGTCCCTCCCCAATCTTGCAGACATAAATCATGTTATCGGTGGAACATGTTGCAAAAGAAACATTATTTCTCCAATCAACATCAAGAGCAGGAGCTGGAAAGAAATATGAATTTGGAAACGATAAGCACAACGCTTTTTATTTTCTGAAAAATAAACTTCATAAACATTTTCAACTGTAGTAATATTTAGGCACCTGAATGAAATTCAAACTGTTGCCTGCACTCCCATGTCCTTGTATCCCACACAATAGCTGTTTTATCAACACTTCCGCTGAGAAGAAAATCACCTTTCTTATTCCATTTCAACGAAAATATTGGACCTTTATGCTTTGCTAAAGTATTCTTTAGCTCCCCTATGATCAAGTTATTCACAAAAGATATTTTAATAAAAAGATAATCAAATGTTAAAACAAAACCACGTATAAAGACTAAAACAAAACCACGTAACATAATAAAACTAAGAAAACAACATTTGTGCCACCATTACATTTCAAATGAAAAGAAAATGGTAACAAGCATCATCATGCACTGAAAGCACAAGGATATCTGAAAAAAAGGTTTATGACTATGATTCATTAAACAAAGAATTACAACCAATGAAGAGATTTCTAGCACTCCAGTTACAAATAATGCAAGAACATCACCAAAAATAGCAACAGTAGCACGAAATAAACAAACTTTCTCAAAAATATAACAAAAAAAAAACTATTCCAATGATGCATTTCATGGATAAAAATCTCATTCTTGCATATCTTACCATCCTTACTCCAAATTCTTGCTTGTCCATCATAAGATCCGGTTGCAAGCAATGTTCCTTCACCCTACAAAACATGGCATAATGCTAGATTAGCATTCAGTTAACAGAATAAACATAAACCTCCAGATGCTGCAACAGTATCTTTATGACTAATGTGATAAGAAGCTTTTAGAGAGATCGAGAGAGAGAGAGATCAGACGTGGGTGGGGGAAGTCAAAGGTACGTCGTTAAAATATATGCTCAACAAACAAGCAACGCTTACATTCCAATCTAGCGTGGTTACGTCTTTGCTTTTCTCATTTGTTCTACCCTTGAAATGTTTCAAGACATGCACTTGAGGAGGTAGCATATTAGAGCCACATGGACCATCAGGAATGGTCCAAATGCGTGCTGTTGAGTCCCCAGACCTGTTGATTGAACATTTAAATATAATTCTAAAAAATGAATAATAACCATGAGCCCTCAAAGGCACAACCACAAATAAAATCATATAATTCAGAAACGGAAACACCCATTTTATGTAAGCATGCAAAATTGAGTGGAAAGCAAAGTTTTAAAAACCAGACAAGATGGTTCAATCAATTCAACCATGAATCAATCTCATGACCAGTTCTGTCCACATTCAAAACCATTTTTGTACTAGCTTGAATCAAGCAAAATAACCAGTTGATTAGATGAACTAGTTGCGGTTACAATGAACCGCCCAAGTCATATTGTGATCAATTTATTTTTTATTTTAGAGCACTTTTATAGGTATTAAACAATACAACAACAACAATAATATCAAGCCTTTATGCCACTACGTGGGGTTGGCTACAAAAATCTTTTTTCTCTATTTTGTCCTATTGAGAGTCAAATTCTCATTTAAATCTAAAAAAGAAAGGTTATTTCTAATATTTTCTAACCAAATTTTTTAGGTCCACCTCTACATTTCTTAACAAAAGTCAAATCTAATACATCTACTTTCCTGACCATGTTATCGGAAGACTGCCGTTTTATGTGACCAAGCCATCTAAGGCGACTCCCTCTAATCATTGGAGCTACTCCAACCTTTTCATGTATATGCTCGTTTCGTATCCTATCTTTAAGAGTAAAGCTACTCACCACCATCTTATAAAACTTTCCCTTTAGTTTGAGTGGTACTTTTCTATCACACAACAAACCCAAAGCATTCCTTCACTTCATCCATCCAACATTAATTCTACTAGTAATATCCCATCTATTTCACCATCACTCTAAACAATAGACCTAAGATATCTAAAACATGTACTCTTATTAATTACTTGATAACCCAAAGTCACAATCCGCCCACTAGATCTATTACTACTAAAATTACACTCCATGTATTCGGTTTTAGATCTACTCAAAAAAAAACCTCTAGACTCTAAGGTTGACCTCCATATGTAAATCCTCCCTATTCTCTTTAATACTTCTCCAGCAAACCTCTCAATAAAAGTATAGATTCCATAGTAGACCTAATCGGGATGAATCCAAATTGATTTTGAGAAACATTAGTATCACGACGTAACCTATGCTCCATAACTCTCTCTCATAGTTTTAAAGTATGACACATTAATTTAATTCCTCTATATAATTTGTACAATCTTGTGCATCACCTTTATTTTTAAAAATATGAATCAACATACTCAATCTCCACTCATCTGACATTTTTTAGTCTTCAAAATAATATTAAAAAGTTTAGTAAACAACAAAATTCCTTCATCTCATAGGCATTTTCACACCTCTATTAGAATGTCATTAGATCAAACAGCTTTTCCACACTTCAATTTTTTTTAAAACCTCTATAACTTTAATTTTACTAAAACGTCAATAAAAACAAAATCTTTATTTTCATTTACGGTGTTAAGGTCATTAAAGTCAATTGTAATTTCACAATTTTCATTAAAAAGATTAGCAAAATATCTCATCCACCTTTGTTGAATATTCTTTCAAATTAAATCATTTTTTTATTTTCATACTTAATGCACTTCACTTGAACTAAATCCTTACTACTATCTCTTTGTTTTGTTATATATCTTTCGCCCTCCTTAGTATCTATATAATCATTAAAAGCTAAAATATTTGCATTGCATATTGCTTTCTTAGACTCCTTACGGGCCACTTTATATCTTTAACAATTTTTAATATTTTAACATCTACACAATTTTTACAACAAAGCTTCTTATTTTTTATCTTTATTGCACAATTTGATTCTACCATCAATTATTTTAACTATTATGAGTTTTTTCCTTTAATACTCAAAGCACATCCTTTGCAACATTCTTAATATCACTAGTTAATTTTTCCCACATAACATTAATTTTCAAAATCTTAAAATCTAAAATTTTACTATAATAATATTTTTTAAATGTCATCATCTAATCCTAGAATAACATTTTACTTTATTTTTCATATTATGCTCATTCACCTTAAAGTCTAAAACTAATAAGCGATGTTGGGTTCAGGGCATATAAAGTTTCACTCGCAATAACTTTACATTTTTTATAATCTAAACGAACTATTTTTCTTATAAGAAAACAATCAATATGAGTTTTATTATATCCATCATTATAAGCGATGAGATGTTTATCACTTTCTTAAATAAGATATTAGCAATTACAAAAATATAAACTAGAACAAAATCTAATATGATATTACCACTTTCATTAATCGCTTTAAACCCATAGCCACCATAAATGCTTTTAAAATCATCTACCTCTCTACTAACACGCCCATTTAAATCTCCTCCAATAAACTCTTTTTTCAAGAACTATATTTTGTATTAATTCTTCTAAGTCATTCCAAAATGTTAATTTTGAACATATATCAAAATTCACTTGAGGAGCATAAGCACTTATAATATTAATAATCTTAATATCAAAAATAATCTTTAAAACTATAATTCTATCTCCAAATAATCTTTATAACATTATCCATCAAACTCTTATCTATAATCACACTTACATCATTTCTAGTATGACTCCTACCAGCATATCATAGTTTAAATCCTAAACTATCAATCTTCTAAGTCTTCTCTCTAACTAATTTAGTTTCCTTAATGAATACAATAGTTATCTCCCTATGAATCACAATATTTGTTAATTTTATTAGTTTGCCTATAAGAGAACATATATTCCAAGTTCATATCCTAATTCTAATTTCATAGACTAGCTTTTTTGCCCATATGTGTGCATGATGTGAGAACCCTTGCTTATTTAACACTACAACAGGGTGTCAATGCAGCGGCCCTTGCACACTTCTCTCTTTATTCAGGCCATACAACACTTCGCTTCTACGAAACGCCCTAGCATTAACACAATGTATTAAAGGATTCATGTATCGTTATATTCAGGCCATATAGGCATTAAATAATATCTAATATAATTAGTAAGATATTTATACAAATGGGTATCAAATAACATTTCACTTTAATTTATTTTTACTTGTATATCTTTCTATTTGATACTAACTTCCTCTCATATCTAATTCATTTTTAGAGCATCAAGTTTCTATAGGAATGGAAGATTTCAAAAAATACCTAAAATTTACTTTTGGCTATAAATGAAAGGATACCAAGTTACCAACTTAAATGTAGGTAGTGTTTAAATTTAAAATTATAGAATAAACTTTTTGTCTATATTTATAAAGTAATTTTTTTTCGATTTTTGTCACATATTTGCATCCTTAATATGCCATTTAGGCAATATTAAAATAAATGTAGTATTTAATATGTCAGTACAACCATAATTGCATCTTTAAACTCTAAACTTTTTCTTATTCGGGTTCATGTCTGATCCAATTTTTAGAATCTTGGAGGAGAGCAACCAAAGGCAAAGGAGCATAAAAATACCAAAACATGGCAATAAAGCATCAAGAAAAATGAGAGGAAATAACATGTTCATTTAAGTAGGTTACATGCCACTTAACAAGAACAACGGTTCTTCAAGAATGCTTACACGCTCATCAGCAAAGAAACTTCATGTATACATTTTGGCTTCTTCTTTTTTTTTTCCTCTCACAGCCTTCCAATGATGCATTTCATGGATTCTTGTGCTAAGTTTAACATTTATCAAATAACTAAAAATATAGATTGGTTATTCAAATGTAAAAATAAGAAAAGGCACTTAATTGATAGTTATTATTCAAATACATCTAAGAAACCTTTCATTTCTTTAGTTACTATCTTGGAAAAAAGCACAAAATAGTCCTTGGACTATTCGTAGGTGGCCGATTTAGTCCCATAGTACTATATTTCTGCAATTTAGTCTATCAACAATACAAAATTGATCCTAGATAGTCGCTTAAGGAGTAAATTGAGATCACTTTTGCAAAGTCAAGTGACTAAATCAAGATAAATTTTGTATCTCAAATTTTTGTTGATTTCAACCAAAACGATTATTTGGGATCAATTTTGTATAATCGAGATATTAAATTGGAGAAATGTGAAACTTGAGAAAAAAATTGGCATATGAATAATTGTGGGCTATTTTGAGAATTTTCACAAGTAGCTGCAATGAAGTCAAAATCAGATTATCTGCAATGAAGTCAAATTAGAGGGTGAGGAAGAGGTTGGTTAAAATGGGATACAATTATTAAATCTATTTTTCCAAAACTTATCACCATCCATTTGTGAACCATTCATTTTGGTCATAATTAAATAAAAGTAAGTCATCTCTCTCCCTTCCTCCACTTCCTCCCCCAAGCATCTCCATTTCTCATAAGCAATAAAAATTTTTTAGAACAAAAATATAGCTGGATCACAAGTTAACTTTTGAATGCACATTGTTAGCTTGCAAAGGATATAGCATAAGTGACAAAAAAAAAAACAGTTAGCAGCAGTTATTACAACGGAAGTGGAGAATCTAATAGCTCAACCTTGAGGTGAGACACTCTCTTCATTCAATGTATCTCTGCTTCACTCCTTTGCACCCTTCCGTGCATCTACCATTCATCCTTAATCAAGAAAATGAGTTTTTCAGCCTTAGTTCTCTCCCTTACGCTCATCCCTCCCACCCGCACCCCACCCTAACCCACAACCCAAAACTTCAATGAGCGGCCTATCCTTCCCCCTTCCACTCCTACAAATTCTTCAATCAGAAATTTCATGAATGGCCTGTACTCTCTCCCTTCCCTTCTCATTCCTTTAAATTCTGGAATTAAAATTTTGAAGAGTTGCACTCTCTCAATTCCAGAATCGTATGTAAAAAATGTTGTGAGTTCAGATGTTAAATTTTTGCACTCTCCCCTCTCTATATCCCATAACTTTGAAATCAATATTTTCAATACAATACAGCAGACTCAGGGGATACAGTATCGGTATTATTGCTAGCAAAAGGAAATGCAAATGTGTCCTAATGAGGTAACAGCCAGGCATCCTTAAAAATGAAAATAGTAGGACCAGCTAACCAAAATATGGGATCAGACATCAAGCTAATATTAACAACATATTTGGGCTCAAATGAAACAGATGTGACACCAGAGACCATAGACATGAGAAAAGGTTTCATGATAATCAATGGCACTTAAAACTGCCATCAATCAATCAGACTAGAACAAGTTGCAATAGTTTTCGAGTTCAGGTCTAGAGTGGGTTCCAATTGCTACATCAACACAAAAAGACAAAATATTGTAAGGCTTCATCTCTGCCACGGCATAAGTTAAATTAACTATAATGAGTAATCCATAATTAAGTTAATAACAATTAGATAGCGTGCCAATGGTTAAGAAATCCAAAAAGACTACACACCCGGATGCTAGAAGTGAACTTGTTGGGCTCCATGCACAAGCAAAAACCTACATATCACCAAAATGGAAATAGATTGGGTGAAGCAATTAAAAGCATTAGAATAACAAAAATGTACTTAAGAATATAGTACAGCAAACACAGACCTCAGAACCATGGCCTTCCAGGATGGTTACTTCAGAACTGTGAATATCAGATGCCACTAACTGTGGGGTAGGAGTTATATCCATTGGTTCGGGACCTGAAATGTGACCAGATAAATAAAAGTTAATCACTGAAAATATTAATAATGATATTTTTAAATTATCAAATAAAAGAAGCCAAACACTGAATCAGAAAAATGAATATTATATCAGACCAAGTTATCTGATCTATGGTTCCTTTCAGATGGAACCTTTTGATTCTATTAATATTAATGAAAAGCATTGTAGAAAAGTAGAAGTTAAAAATAACTTGGAATTTTCTTGTTTGATTTTGTACAAAATTGTGGGAATATTTATAAAATTCTTCAAAATACTTACAATAAAATAAATCAAACTTATTTATTTAAAAAAAAAAGAAAGAAAAAAGGTCCACAAGAAGGGTCAACACCTTGAAAAGGAAGAGGCACATGGATTGTAAATTAAAGGTCATAAGAGAAATTAAAAAAAAAAAGATGATCCACCGGTTGAAACCCTTAATCCATATGCTCAAGAATCCCTACAAAATATTGGTTAACTTGTGAGTCCCATGATCTTGCAACACTCACTCTCAAACTAAATGGTATAAATTTATCGTTCCAAATTTATTTATAATATTTTTGAATGTGTGGTTGTAAAACTATATAGTGAAAATGTAAGTTGAGTTTCTGTTGGCACTTTAAGAGTGCAGATCAACACACTTCCTGGTTTCTCTTTTATGAATGTATATCCACCTTCGCATGATACAATCGTATTGTACTAGATTATGAGCAATAAAGAGGACATTTATTCTCACAATATATCTTCATTGACACTTCCCATTTAATTTTTAAAAATTCCAAAATGATTTTGATCCACAGAAATTTGCAAATTCTTTGAGCAATGGATCTAATTCAAATTCAACGCTGGATCTTCAAATAACATGTTTCTTTCTCCCTTCATTTTACAAGATTTCCTCTAAAAAATATACAATATCCACTCGTAGATATTCTATTCATTGGTAATCTTGCATAATCCGCATCATTATACCCTTCAATTTATAAAATCTAACTTGATTTATAAAGAAATCATTTAAAAAAATTGATTTGACCCGTACAAATTTCTTTAACATTCCCATGTAATAAATCATTCCTAACATCATAATATTGCATGAATAATCAATGATTAGCTATGAGAGAAATTAAAATGCATATTGCATTTAATTTTGCAACATGAGCAAAAGTTTCTTGGTTAGAATTCCTTTGACAATCAATCTCACTTTATAATATTTCATTCTTCCACGTGTTCTATAATTTACAAAAAAAATCATTTCCATCCTATAGTTTCTCTTCCCATTTAACAGTTCATCGATCTCCCAAGTGCAATTTTTTTTTCAGAGCATTCATCTATTCCCTCACAGCATCCTTCTAATTCTTGTTTTCAAGTATCTCAACTAGAGTTTCTGATAGGTAATACTTGAGTTCTCAAGTATTACTAACCCAAACCAGTAAAATTACAGCAGCAAACTGCTGTCCCCAGCAGTAAAACAGCAGAAATTCAGCAAAAATACAGCAGGAAATAGGGAAACGGGAAGAAAAACACAAGATTATGCTTGTATTTCACTAGAAACCCAAGAAAACAGCAAAGATACACTTTGTTCTTCAATCCGAGAGGAAGAACAACTCTCCAACGATCTCCGGCAAAGCCAAGAGCCCAAGAACACAAACCCTAGATCTCAAATAGAATTCAAATTCAAGATGATCCCCCAATTCCCCCCCAAACTCCTAATTATACAAATTAATCATAAAGGACAATAATGGACTTCCTAAAACAACCCCTCATTCAAAAATCTCCCTCCCAAATTCAATTTAAGCATGTGTGGGGTCCACAGGGGAGTTCAGCCCCTTTTTGTTGTTCCGCCTGGCGTAGCATCGTACCGGTCCCGTGACCGGTCCACTCGTAACATTACTCCCCTCCCAAAAATTCACCTTGTCCTCAAGGTGAAAGTCTGAAAACTGCTGCTTCAACTTCTCATAGGGCTCCCAGGTCGCCTTGTAGTCGGGAAGATCTTTCCATTTGATTAACACTTCCTTGGTTCCTTTTTTATTAACTCTTACTCCTTCCAGCCCCATGGGTTCCATTACCACCTCCAAGTCTTCTGTTAATGATGCTGGTAGCTCGGGACTAGCTACATGCTCCCCAAGCGCTCTCCTCAACTGTGACACATGGAACACCGAGTGCATGGTGGCGGACGGGGGTAACTTTAGTCGATACGCTACTGCTCCAATCCTCCCAGTGACCTCATAGGGACCAAAATACCTCGAGGCCAATTTCTCATTTTTACTGTTTGCCACTGATTTCTGTCTGTAGGGTCTTTACTTCAGAAATACCTTCTCCCCCACTTCAAATTGTATGTCTCTCCTGTGTGTATCTGCTCACTTCTTCATGATTTGTTGTGCCCTTCCCAAATGCTTCTTTAACTCCTCCAGCACCTGATCTCTTTCTTCTAAGTACTGCTCAACTGAAAAGATTGGTGTGTTTCCCTTTCCATAATGCACTAACTGTGGGGGGTCTCTTCCATAAAGTACCTTGAAAGGGGTCATTTGGGCTGCTGAGTGATACGAAGTATTATACCAGTACTCTGCCCAAGGTAACCATTTAGCCCACTTACGTGGTGTTTCTGAAGCAAAACACCTTAAATAGGTTTCCAAGCTCTGATTTACCACATCGGTTTGTCCGTCTGTCTGTGGATGGTAGGCGGTACTCCTCTTGAGAACAGTGCCCTGCATTCGAAAGAGTTCCTTCCAGAATTGACCGAGGAAAACCTTGTCTCTATCTGACACAATGGAAGCAGGGAATCCGTGTAATCGCACCACTTCTCTAATAAATGCTGCTGCCACTGAGACCGCGGTGTACGGGTGCCGCAGGAGGACGAAATGGGCATACTTACTAAGGCGGTCCACCACTACCAAAATGACTGTGAATCCCTCTGAACGAGGTAGGCCGTCAATGAAGTCCATGGACACTTCCTCCCAAACTTTGTTTGGAAGTTCCAACGGTTGGAGTATCCCTCCTGGTGCCATCGCCATATATTTATTTCTTTGGCACACCTCACACCTTGCCACCAGCTCTTCCACATCTTTATGCATGCCCCTCCAATAGAGCTCCGCTGTTAGCCTCCTATATGTCTTCTGGACTCCTGAATGGCCTCCAACTGCACTGCCATGAAACTCCTGCAACAGGTGGGGGATATGTACGTACGTTCGTGGCATCACAAACCTCCCTTGATACAATAATCTCTCCCCCTCAATGCAGTAGCCCGGATGGCTACTCTTGTCTTTCTGTAGGTCCTCCCTGATCTTCCCCAATTCTTCATCTAGCCCTGCTTTCTTCCTTGATGGCCCCCCAATCAACCATCAATGGTACTGACAGAGTTAGCTCCTGGAGCTCCCCAACACATCTGGATAGGGCGTCAGCTGCTTTATTTTTCAAATCTGGCTTGTATTGGATCTCGAAGTCGTATCCCAACAGTTTGGAGAGCCACCTCTGATGCTCCTCAGTCGCTATTCTTTGCTCCAGTAGATACTTTAAACTTCTCTGATCAGTACGGACAATGAAATGTCGCCCCAAAAGGTAGGGACGCCACTTCTGAATGGCCAAGACAATCGCCATCAGCTCTCTCTCGTACACTGATTTCAATCTTGCCCTGGTTGATAGCACTTGACTGAAGTATGCTACAGGCTTGTGGTTCTGCATCAACACTGCTCCCAACCCATATCCTGACGCGTCGGTCTCTACCACAAATGCTTGACCAAAGTCTGGCAGGGCTAGAACAGGAACAGTCGTCATGGCTTTCTTTAACCTCTCGAACGCCTGGGTGGCTGCCTCTCCCCAGCAAAAATTGTCCTTCTTCAGCTGCTCAGTCAAAGGCCAGGCAATGGTACTGTATCCCTTCACAAACTTCCTGTAGTATCCAGTCAATCCTAAAAATCCCCTCAATTCCCTGAGGTTCCTAGGTAGCGGCCATTTCTGCATTGCCTCAATTTTACTCAGATCTGCCGCCACTCCTTCTTGGGACACCACATGTCCCAAGTATTCCACACTGGTCTGGGCAAAGCTGCACTTCTTCATATTAGCTTTTAACTGGTGCTCCTGTAGGACTTCTAGAACCATCCTCAAGTGTTCCAAATGTTCTCCTACAGTTTTGTTGTACACCAAGATGTCATCAAAGAAGACCAGGACGAACTTTCTGAGGTACTGCTTAAATACTCTGTTCATCAAGGATTGGAAAGTAGCCGGAGAGGGCATCACCAGAAACTCATAATGTCCTTCGTGTGTCCTGAATGCTGTTTTTGGCACATCGGTTTCCTTCATCCTGATCTGATGGTAACCCGATTTTAAATCCAACTTAAAGAACAACACCGCCCCATGCAGCTCATCAAGTAACTCATCAATCACCAGAATTGGGAACTTGTCTGGTACAGTGCCCTTATTCAGAGCCCTGTAATCCACACAGAATCTCCAACTCCCATCCTTCTTCTTGACCAGGAGGACTGGACTAGAAAAAGGGCTAACACTTGGCCTGATGATCCCGGCCTCTAACATCTCCCGGATCAACGTCTCAATTTCATCCTTCTGGATCTGCGGGTAACGATAAGGGCAGACACTGATCGGTGTCTCCCCTTCCTTCAAAGTGATGGCATGTTCCAGCTCCCTCTGAGGTGGAAAACCCTGCGGAGGTTGGAATACCTCCATGAACTGCTGTACAAGAGGCTGTACTGAGGAAGGAATAGTGCCTTCTTCCTCAATTCTGATTCCTTCCAGACGGTGTAACTCCACCAAGTAGCCTCCCCCTTCCTCCTGGATGATTCGGATTAGGGATTTAAGTGATACCCCAGCCTTGGCCAGCCCCGCATCACCTTGGATCACCCTTCTTCTTCCCTCCATCATTAGCTCCATTCTCAATGTCCCCCAATTGATCTTGGTCTCCCCCAAGGTCTGCAACCATTTCATCCCTAGGATGACATCCGTACTCCCCAATTTCAAGGGAAGGAAGTCTTCCTTTACATGGATCCCTTGAATC